TTGGTCATGGGGCTGTTAAGGATGTTTCTGATATAATTGTTACAGCACAGCACTCTTAACATACGGTAGATGGGTAGAGCCGTGGCACATTGCACAGTGCATTGCACTATGAAGTCAACGACCAGAGTTTAATTCATGGCTACATTCGATGGAAAGTTATTTCGTAATTGGTTCTGGCTCCCCCCTCCCTTCACCAACCCTTACTAACCAGTGGGGTGAAGTATGGTCAAACAACCCCCATGAGTAATAAGGTGTGGGGGAGTCCACATTCCGACAGTGAATTAACAAAGGACTCTAACTTATAATTTTTGTGGCACGTGTGAAAACATGCTGAAAATTATCAAATGGAATACTTAATAAACATCTTCTTTGATTAAACTTATATCAGGGTTATCATTTAAAACGTTGTTTAACTGGGGTCAGATGCAAATCTCAATGGGTTCCCATCACAGTTTTTCGGAACATTATTGGCAATCTATTAAGTTCCACTTCGAAGACGACTGAGATACCATGCACAGTTAACCATATGCTGATGACTTCGTCATTATGTAAGAATTTTGGCAAAAAAACTGTCCTATTTATTTTATTTATCACGGATATCGAAAAAAGAATACCAGCATGCGAGATAAGATTCCATAGAAGACCACTATGAACACCACCCGCAACTCTCCGCAGAAATGCATCCGTTCCAGATAAAAATTGCAGAAAATATGAGAAAAAGATTTGACCCGCTTGCGGATGATAGCGAAGGAATGGAAACAGCAGTGGCCTTGGACACGCGACACCAAAGAGGGACTATCCAGCATCGTAATCATGCAATGCACCGCAGTGGGGGAAAATAAGGGGAGGATGACCGAAGATAACTGGATGACAAATGTGATAACGCGGCCTGATACGCCGGCACAACAGGGACGTTGACAGCCGAGACACTAGCACTACTCCCACGACCATTGCAGTTCAGCGATAGATGACGACGACGGTTCAAGCAAACCTACGATGATCTCGTATTTTGTGCGAGTGTCGAGTTTTATGGCGGATTTGTTTTTTTTTTTTAAACGTTCAACGGGACCGGTTGCTAAACAGATCTTTGCATTGTGGTGGCTATTTGGGGGAGGCGTCTGGAATGCTCCCGTCTGTCGGTTGCTATAAATACTCGGCAAGAATGCGCTAATAGGAATCTTGGACTCATCTGGGGAGATGCGCACTGCCGCTAAAGTGCTGCTCGTATGATTGTCTCATAATCCTTTCGCTTATGGGCACTGCAGTGATATTATTTTGCTGTGCTTCATTAATCAATGAAATCCCGTTGAGGGGTCTGTATTATTCTCGGTTATGCAAGACCAACCCGGGGGAGGGATATTATTACCCTACAGTATTTCGAATGCGAATATAAAAGCACATTGAAGTGGTTAAACATTTTGGGTTCGGCCTTGACCCACAGTGGCTTAAGAATAGATAGAACACCTATTTACAATACAAAAGTGTGCCGTATAACCTTCGACCAAACCGAACCAGGCTGCTGCTGTCAGATCCCCGCATTGTGCTTGGATGGGCGACCAACGTGCGCGCATACAGGAGCCGTTGTAGGCTGCTGCGGGGACTACGTCGTCAACGGAGGGCAACATCATTTTGTTGTAATCTACTGTGCTCCAATGTGTATGCTCCCCACTGCCATCACCAACCTGCACTGACCAGCGTGAACGAGTAAGGGCCCTTCCACAGGGTGGAAAGGCCCTTACTCGGCAGTGGGTCGACAACAAAAATGGACTCTGCATGTAACGCATAGAATATTTCAGCTGGCAGTGTCTCCATGCTCAGTCTAGTCATTAATCGGAGCTGGCCGGGTGGCTCAGAGGCCCGAGCACTGAGCCTGGTACAGCCATCTCCCTGGGTCCAAGATGAAACGCCTCCTTTCCACTGTTCGAATCAATCAACAAATCTTTATTTTACGTGCCAATATCGCCCTCAATAAAATAGACATCATCGTGCACATTACAACGGAATGAGAATGGTAGAGGGGTACAAATGAACTGTGCCTGAGCCATACCGAGCCAGCCTGTTGCGTCTCTGGTAGTTTTATCCATTGCGGAAGCTGAGCAATGCCGCTTTCGTCACGCGCACGTAGGTGACACGATATTGCGGTGTCCTTGCAGCGTATTGGCTGATGTCACACGAAATGAGCGTGTCATGAGCCCCGTTGCTGGCCCTGCTTGGCCCTGAACCAGATTCCTATAGTTTTGTGAGGCCCGCGAATCGCGGTTTGGTTCAGGCTCGGCACAGCGTATTGGAAAACCACTGGGAAGACTACCCCCCCCCCCCCCTCTCCGCACTGTCTTGGCTTGGATATTCCAGCGGAATAGGGGAGTAGGCAAGCCACCTGTGATGGAACTTGGTTTTTCAAGTGTAGCGAGTTTATCGTATCAGCCTGGTCACCAGTCTTCTCCTCCTTTCGTACGGCTGATGCAGGTGCAGAACAACAACTACAACTTCACATTCAGGTGGTCAAGCAAGACAACCTCGTCTGGAGTAGTGGTTATCCAGTGATTGCGCTCGATGAAACGCGTTACGTAAAATTTGCTTTTTCACTTCATTGGGCTCGGTCCAGTTCTGAGAATGCAGCGTTTTGGTTGATTTGACTTGCGTTGAATTATTTTGTTGTTGCTGTTGCTGCGTGCCATTGCAGTAAAAGCTGGATTCCCAGTGTGAATGACGTGACCTCAGGAGTAGTTCTATGACATCATCGTATGCGGCCATTCTCTGAAACAGGGTTGTTCTGTGCAGGTGGTAACGACAGTGGTGGTCGTTGCAGGGAATTCGTGAAATCGGCTCGTGTACAGGTGCTAGCTAGATGGGTCGTTGTATCGCAAGACCGTGAGAGATGGAGATGGATTGGGGAGGCCTTCATCCAGCAGTGGATTTATCATGGCTGAAGTTGATTGTCTTGAGTTCACTTCTCTGGCCATCGAGCCAGTTTTTGTCTTAACTGGAACTGTGTTGCCATCTACTGCCAGATAATTTGTTCTACAGGCATTGCCCCAGTACCGATTTTTGCAATTCCATTCTCCTGTACAGTCGTTTCATTCTCTTATATTTCATTCTCTTATATTACATTTTCTCATGTTTCATTCTGTTGTACTGAGATTGTGCCATGGTGTAACGGTTCGCACGACTGAACTTGCAATCCAGAGGTCACCGATTCGATTCCATCTTCCCGGTGTGGCGTTTGTTCCAATGGGGATTTTTTTATGTTGATGCTGTTATCAAATCCATGACCGACTGCCACATCTGTGCACTCGGCAGTATAAATTGGTCACTACATTTGGTAGATCGGGAGAGGCCGCGTGTGGTGGGGTAAAGTGTGATTACTCCCCCACCTATTCTAATACGTCTGGTCAATGTGGAAAAGTAGACCAAATAACCTTAAGAATTGGCTGTGGTGGATGCCATTTCCACCAGCAGTGCCATGAGCAAGCAGTTTGTGGAGTTGCACCATTCATATACAGAGACGATCATCATCATGTACAGACCATTGTCTATCCACTGCTGGATGAGGGCCACCACTCAGTGACAGTGGTTGTTGTACAAAAGTTCACCACAGTGGTCAGTGCAGGTTGGTAGAAGTTGGGGAGCATTGACGGGCTAGGGCGTTTGCTGTGGTAACACTCTCTCTTACCCCACAACACAGCCGTATAGCAGCCTATGGCACCTGTTTTTATCCATAGTGATTGCCCATCCAACCTTTACCCCGGCTCACCTTTGCTTCATGTCTGGGTTCTGGTAATATTGGGAGCATTCCAGGTGACTTGGTAATAAGTTGATGCGAGGTCTGCTGGTGAACATGGCTTTGCCCATGATTATCTTAATCTTGAGTCTTCTTTCCCACCTGCCCTCAGTCGTCTTCCTTCCCCTATATATAAATATATAAACACAAATCTCGCTCTTCCAGTTCTCCTTATCAGTACTTTCCACCTCCAAAACCTCACGAACTTCTGTGATCTAAGGAGATCAGGTGGCACATTATCTGCAATTTGGTGATTGGTCAAACCAGATTTAAATAGAAGGAAAACCATCCGAATTACAGAGATGTATATATATTTTTTTAAACATCCTTTCTTTTCTATCTTTAGAGACGTATATGTTGCCGACATTCTCCACAATGGCACTTGATTATTGCCGCTGACTTTCAGAGCATCCGAATCCCATGCGGGATCGTAGGGACCCGGGGGAAAAAAAGCGGCTACCTTTCTGCTCACCTCGTCTGCCCTTTTTTTCCTGCCAGCCCACACGCATGTTTTGACTACCGATTCCACCGCCAGGATTGCTTCGCCGCGAGATCCCTATCTCGTGGATTCCACTCATTCCTGCTGCCTTCCAGCAACGGAGGTACTGCCTAGCCTGCCCGCCTGCGCGCCACCGCCCATTTTTCTTGGACGTTTCATCGCGTCGCCCGTGCGGTCGCCCGGACCACACAAGCGCTCGCGTGAGAAGGGATCGGTCCCAACGTCGTGGGCGCGCTGTCCTGGCAGCAAAAACCGCGTTTCTCTCAATGCCGTGTGTGTGTGTGTGTTTTTTTCCTCCTTTCCCGTCGACGGGAACGAGCGCGGTTGCAAAGTGATTCGCGTTTCTGAAGCCGCTGCGAGTGCTTTTCACCAGCGAGGGTTCAGGCAGCGTGTGCTTCTGTGCGCCAAGGCGAGTCGGTTTGGGGGGACTTCACTCGCAAGCCGAGCGAACGGCGAGACGTGGCCCGCCTGCCCAGCGTCGGAAGTTAAACACTCGCAGCGTTGATCTGCCTGCGCTAAAGACGGGAGTAACGTTTGATTAAGCAGTCGTTCTAACTTACGGACGTGTAACTTTCCACATCTGTAAACCGAAGTAGCTTTGTTTTTTTTTTCCCCCCTCGGATATGTAATTCATTAATTCTCCCGCGCAGAAGAATTGTGTAAAACAAAAACAACAACAACAACAACAAAAAACCCCCCCACATTTTTTTTTGTCTTTAGACGAGGCCGTTTTTATGTTTTGGGTCACATCCTCTGTGGAACCGGAGCCAGCGCGTAAAGCGCTCGCAGAATGCACGGCGACCGCTGGGACGCGGGCAAGCCGCACGCCACGCGGACAAGCGCCGCGATGAGGAAAGTGCAGGCCCTGCTCGGGTGGCTGCGCAAAAACCACTCGACGAAAAGCAAAAAATGCGCCGGGGACGAGGCGTACTCTCTGAAACGCCTCTCCGAAGAGGGTCCAGGTGAGCGCTCTGTGCCTTCTTCCCCCCCCCCCCTGTTGTTTACGCCTCTCCCCCCCCCCCTCGCCCGCTGTGTTTGGGACCGCTCGGCACGCTTGCGTTTTTTTTCTGCGGACCTGTGCTGTTGAGGTCTGTTTGTTTGTCTCTGCGGCGGGGTAAGAAAACGAACGAAGGGAAATAAATTGTTCGTGACGAAGCGAGAGAGACCATTCGGGACGATCCGTGCGGATTTCGCCTGTCGACAAATGTTCCTTTTTTGTCCGATATTTTTATTTTTATTTTTGGCAAACGTGTGTCGGTAAGTTAAGTTTTACGTTAATTTTGGATAACCAGGTGAGACGTGAAGAGGCCAGAATAGTCTCAATAAAAGCGATAAAATTTAATTTATCACAGCAATGCAGTAAATAGATAGCTCCATTACCAAACAAATAAATGAAGGCAACGCGCTTTAGCTGTTTTGTCAGTAGCATTTGCAGCAGTTTCAATGCGTAATATTGGGACAGTGTGCGGTACTGTATTTGAACTACAAACGGAACGAATGCCTTTCCGGGAAAAGTGCATTGTGACTCTCGCATTCTCAGAGAAGTCTTTCAAGGCGATGTGTGGGTCAGTTCCTTTTGAAAGGAGTGTTGTTTGAAGCCAATGTGCAAAAAAAAATGTAATCAGCCGCACAGGCAGGCTGTCATGTGACTTTTCTCCCGTGACTTTTCTTTCACGAATAATTCGTTTGTCTTGAGCTTGGCTTTACGAGAATAATTCACTGAGTGGTTACTACGCTTCCAATTAACTTCTTTTATTTTTATTCTTGGTTCTTTCGGTAAAGTCACGTAGAAGGGAAACAATAAAATGATAAAAATATAAAACGATGAAATTCTCACGACGTTTCGACTGCAACACAAGCAATCATCATCAGGTGTGAAAACCCACAGCAAGAACATTTTCTGATGATGATTGCTTGTGTCGCAATCGAAACGTCGTGAGAATTTTATTGTTTTATATTTGTATTATTTTGTTTCCCTTCTACGTGACTTTACCGAAAGAACCAAGAATATGAATGCCTGCAGTCACGCAAGCTTTAAATAAAAATTTATTTTATTTGAAGAAGATACGTTTATTTTATTACAAAAACGCCTTGGAAAACTGATAGGATGAATGAAAATCAGTCTTAATTTGAAGCTTTCATGACTGCAGGAATCCGTACTCTTTGGTTCTTTTGGTAAAGTCACGTGGGTAGCAAATAAAATAAATCACGACGTTTCGGGCGCAACACAAGCGTCACCTGATGACGGATGCTTGTGTTGGGCCCGAGACGTCGTGATTGATTTTATTTTCTACCTACGTGACTTTACCGAAAGAACCAAAGAGAGTAAGGATGAATGAAAGTTTATAAGTTTCCAAACTCATGAAGAGGATGAAAGAATACTTGCACCCTTCTCTATTCTGTGGAATAAATAAATGCATTTAGGACGCTACAAATTAGTTTTGCATTCAAATATGACACCGCGCTGAATAGATTACATGCAATCATAGACGGTTGCAAACTGGACGCTGTTGTGAAATCGGCGCCAAAAGCGCCGTTTTTTCAGTTTATTTATTTTGGTATAGCCCTGTGAGCCATTCGGCTCTTGAATTGGGTGCAACCGCAACAAACAAAAAAACTAAAACACGAACAAGAAAACATCTTAAAGTGACTGTGAAAGTGACAGCACACGACGCTGACGGTCTCCATTGAATATAAACACAATCTATTTTGTCAAAAGAGCAAGCTGCTCGACTCATTGGCATGAGCCAATACACATCGTCAGCGACATCGTCTTTTAAGTAAAAAAAAATCTGCGCCGACGTCTCCATCAACCGACAACGGGGAGAAATCGCAAACGCGCCGCGGTTCTGCCCGTTACATCAATGATGGGAATCGGGCCTTTTAGGATAAAAAAAATAATACTTCACAGCACTTGGCTTTCAGAGCAGATTGTTTTTTTCTTTCTCCTCCCCCCCCCCCCCCATCTCATCTGGCTTTCAAACTCCCCACACAATGGTCTACTCATGTGAGCGATGTAGTGCGAGCACAGGATGCCTTTTTGCGGCAGTCATATTGCAGGAATGTCCCGCGTGAAAATGGATCTTCGCGTTAAAAAAAAAACTGAGCGTTTGATCTTATCACGATTTGTATCTGTGGTCGTGCCTTGTCGCGAAGGCCCCCCCCTCCGTGAGAGACCTTGGTAATAAGGACATCCTTGCATGCTTCAAATGAAACGTAAAGGGGCTGCCTGGATCGGCGCTGGTTTTGCAGCACAGGGCAGAGAGGAGGAACGTCGCTGACATTGCCACCAACACTGAGCTGTGTTGTCCACGGATTCGCTCACCCAGTTGGGCAAGGGAAACGTGGGCTTTAAGATACTTGTTTGCTCTGAAACTGTCACCATCGGTGGCATCAAATTGAAAGACCGAAAGAGGAAACGCGCGGATTAATCAATTAACAAAAGGTAAAAACTTTGCATTGACTGCCGAGGGGGAAGTACGTGGGCTTGAGCAGGGCACACGACGCTGGAAGAGGGGTGGCAGGCCGGTGGTTGGGACAAACGACAGAGTGGCAGCGATAGGAAGGAACGCGTCCGGTCGGACATCCACCGTGGATATGGAGCAAGGAAAAATATGCTCGTACGTAGGAGTGGAGCTTGATGGATTGTTGCATAGCAGGACCGTGTAACATGGTGATGGCTTGATGATGATCGTGTATTATGGGTGTGATGGCACCGTGATGTCATGTGACATCACATACCCTTCCTGAAAACGTGATACTACGATGTTTAGACATCACGTAACACATCACTCAACTTTAGGAGAATCAAGCAGTCGGGGCGATAGATGATCCAGAACTTTCTGATTCACTCTAGCCTCTTGATCGCCCGTCGTCGGTTTGTCCCTTATGACTCTTCTGTTGCTACTACTGTGCTTTTACTGTTCCCGTGACGTTCACTCATTGATTCCTCCACCCGTGTTGAGGACTCGGTTTACCATACTGAATTTTTTTTTTCATCCACACTGTTCAACCATCACACTGCAGGTCACAACACTTCTCTATCTGCTTCTTCCCTTGCACTGCTTGACTTTGGAATGCCCTCCCATCGTCTATTTTCCAAAGATTCTAGACCGCGTCTCAAATAAATAATCTCTTATCTTTTGATTTAAAGCTTTCGTGACTGCAGGGATTCATGGTCTTGGTTCTTTTGGTAAAGTCACGTAGAAGGGAAACAATAATTTTTTTATTATTTTATTGTTTCCCTTCAACGTGACTTTACCGAAAGAACCAAGAATATGAATCTCTTATCTATTACAACTTTAACCGTGTTGTTCATTGCTGGGCTGCTTGGCATTTTGGGCCTGGATATCTGTGAAAAATAACTTTAAAGCTCATCTGATTCCTCCAGCATAAATACATATTCTGATTCTGAAATAAATATTCTGAACTGCGATATTTTACTTAAAGGTGACGTCACATTGGCTCACCGGCACACGCGATATTTATTGTGTTGTCCATCGAGGAAGATATAGTTGACGATACCCTGGGCTAGAACCTCGAGATAAATCAAACGCTTTAATAGGCACACACAGACTGGTAAGTGGCTCTGGGCGTTTTGGCACGCTGCTGTAGCACCACCTTGGTTTGTGTGCCCACCCCTTACTGCACGTGACTGGGGAGCCGCCCGACCAACAGACGTTCCCTCCACGTTGTTTGCCGACTGGCGTTTACGACGGCCGGAAGGTGGAACGAGAAGGTCGACTGAATTGTATGGAAGTGGCCACGGAGCGGTTGAGTGGCTTGGAAAAACAAACTCTTGATAGTGAACGCAAGTGGAAGAAGAATTCTTCTGGGTCGCTCCGCTGTCACGTACTTGCTGCTGATGATGATGATGCTCCTGCTGCTGCTCTTGCGGCAACGACTGCGCGTTGGAATTTGCCGGTGCCGCTTTCTCCCCGTGCCGCAGATGATGCCGTGCTCGAGGAAGGTGGGAGTCGGGTAGCGGGCTCGACGGCCCTCGCCAGGGATGGCCCAGCGGCCCCACAGAGGCACGGCATCTCCGGTACGTTAGCGCTACGACGCGCTCCGTGCATCCTCCGCAGAACCCCCGCACCGTCTACGTAGTGCTGCTCTGGAGAATCGCGGACAAGGCTATCGCGAAAGTGGGTGCTCTGTTTGCACAGACGGGAGGTGGTCTGGAGTTGTTTCACAGTCGTGGCCCATGTTGCTTTGTGGTTTTACCCAGTTAGGTTGTTTGCGACTAATTTCTGAAATTTCGATCGTGACGCCGGCATACGTGGCCCACCCTGTTCCGAATGATGTAACGGGGTTTTGTTTTAACGTCCGCTGTGAAACTGACCGGCGCAAATTGATTCGTTATTACACTTGTGTGGTAATAACAGAGGCAGCTGCTGGGGGCTGAACTGCGAGCCTCTGCAACAAGCAGCACACGCTGCTGCTGCTGCTGCTGCTGCTCGGCTTTGTCAACGGCTAACAAGGCGATCATCATCTGACTGTGCCCCTGTCTCAGACGAACATCTGGGTTCCACCCTGGTGGAGCTCATCAAGAAGGAAGGCTCCACCCTGGGCATCACGGTGTCCGGAGGGGTTGACAAAGAAGGGCGGCCTCGGATCTCCAGCCTACGACCTGGAGGAATTGCCATCCGGTGAGTGCTCCATATACGTCATCTATCGCCGCCATCATCATCATCACCAGTCTTGATGAATCCACTGCTGGATGATGGCCTTCCTAAGCCGTTGCCATCTCTCACGATCCTGCGACTTAGCAATCCACCTAGCACCTGCACACGAGCCGATTAAATCGCTTCATCTCCTCGGTTGAGTTTTTGTCGCTTAGAGCATTTGGCTGCTATAAATGTCCACGTGATAAGCCACTTTGTTGAGCTATCATTTGCGGCCAGGTCAAAGGGGGCAAGGCTATCGCTTCTGAATATTGGCTGCACAGCTCAGTGGGCCTTACCTGGTAAAATAAAAATAGTTTTGGTTTAGTTTGGGATGTACTCTCAAGGGAGGCCTTCATCCAGCAGTGGATTAATCATGCCTGGCGATGATGATGTTGACGGAATTATTAGAGTAGACGGCGAAGCTGTGGCTCCAAGGCCTTGTCGAGGGGCGGTGGGGGTGCCAGCAGTTTCACGAACTTCTGCAGAGAGACACTCGCAGTGGATCAACGACATCGTAAATATCGGACAAAGTAAAATAAAGGGTGGAGGCACGGTGAGACAAACTCCCTTCAACTCCTGAAGATGCCCCCCCCACCCCCCTCCCCCCCCCCCCCAGTAGTGAGAGGTGACTAAAGATTGAGAGAGGAGATGGTCAACGTGTGGCCTGGCCCAACCCTGGACGACCACACTTGTGTCTTTAAGTGGTATGCGAGTGCGCGCTATTGAGAAATGCTTGCGACGGTTGGACCTGCGCCGCTGCATGGGCGCATACACGTGTGAGTGCGTGCCTGTGTGCACGTGCGGGGCGCGTGGAATGTAACGAATCTGTGGAGGAGGCCCGTGAAGGACGCTGCTGGGCAGTTGGAGGCAGTCCAGCAATAAACGGAGGCTGGTGGAGCAACGCTGACTTCAACAAAGCAGGGTGCCGGTTGGCTTAAACACAACAACAACAACAACAACAAGTCGGCATAGTGGGGAGCGCAGTTGATCTCAGTCGGTCAACGCGTAGCACCTGGGTCTGCCCCCGTGACCCTCCTGAGCAGCGAGACTCCTGACACCTCAGGTGATGGCTTCGAGGTACAAGCCAGCCTGGCGCGCGAGCAGCGCTGCGTCACTCGCGTACCGTTGACGGCGAACGGCGGCCGTCGCCGTTGGCCCGCGCGGGTTTTCGTTTGCGCGTAGGAGCGACCAGCTGAACGTGGGGGATTACATCCGCTCCGTGAACGGCATCAACCTGCTGCGGCTGCGGCACGAGGAGATCGTGAGCCTCCTCAAGAACGTCGGCGACCGCGTCGCGCTTGACGTCGAGTACGAGCTGCCGCCTGTCGGTGAGTGGCGTCGCCGCGCACTCGGAGCAACCGCAAGATTCGGCCGCAGCAGCCTGTGGTGATACGTTGTCCTTCACCCCCCCCCGCCCGCACCTCCGATTAGCACGGTTGGCTACGTACGGTGCTGAAGAAGTTCAACATACATACATGATATATTTGGAGTTTACATTGTTCTCCCTGTGGTCGCGTGTATTTTTCCCCCGGGTCCTCCGGTTTTCCCCTCTGCATTTAGAAACATGTGTTTTAGAGTATTTGGCTGCTATAAAATGTTCACGTGATAAGTCACTTCGTTGTGCTATCATTTGTGGCCAAGTCGCCTAAAAAAAGAGCCACAAAGCTCAGTGGGCCTTACCTGGTCAAATAAAAATAGTTAATAGGCTAATTCACTTTGTAGAGGGCATGACGAAAACCCAACACATTCGGCCCGCGCCTCCGATTAGCACGGTTGGCTACGCACGGTGCGAAAGAAGTTCAACAAGCGTATGGACGGCGATACACTCCGCTGCTCCTGACGCGGCTGTCTGGCTTGGCCACCTGAATTTGAAATTGTACTTGTTGCTCTGCATCTACATCGGCCGGACAAAAGACGAAGAAGTTGTGGATCTGGTGGGGGGAGGGTGGTGAGTGGGATGGGGGGGGGGGCAGGTTGGGGGGGGGTGGGGGTGATCACCCCCTCCCCTCCCTTGAGACCCTGATATTGGAATTGTATTGATATTAATCATGGAAAATGCATTGAATGTTTAATTTATAAATGTAGGTTACTATTTATGAAGATTGAAATTTCAGGACGACTGTCCCCCCCCCCGCCCCCCCTTCCCTGTGGAAAGCTTCCAGACCCGCCGCTGAGTACATTCGGGGTGAAGGCTTAAAAGGCCTAGTCTGCTTTTATCGTTTCTTAAAGCAATCGGTTTTACTTTCCCAATTCCTTTGCGGTCACGTGTCCACCGAATCGCTGACTCTCACCCATTGGGGAGCGACTAAATAATAGAACGAGCGCTCACTCGTGTAAAAAAAAGTAGGTGTTGTTACACAAGCACGGTTAATCTGCCAACGGGTAATGAAGCGTTAACTGTGTCCTACACTGGTCAAAGAGTGATGGTCATTGATGTCTGTTCGATTGATTGGACCGTGTGATTTTTGTTGTTGTCTCCGTGTTTATCGCGTGCGTGCTATTTGATGTGCAGCTGTGGACAGCACTGCAGTGATCCCCAAGCTGATCGAAATAACCTTGAACAAAGAGGGGAACAGCTTCGGCTTCGTTTGCAGAGGTGAGAAATAAAACACGAGGGTAAAGGTGCAGCCCTGCAATTTCTTTGTCGATGCCACTGCTGGTAGAATGCCTCCCTCTATAGCGGAGGTCGAGAAAGCCCCCCCCCCCTCTCGAGGGTGTTGGTCTATTCTGCCATGTTGACCAAACGTATCGGAGGAGGTAGACGTCCCCACACTTTAGCCCACCACACGGGAACTGACATTCGACTCATTGTGGTGTACCGACCCGTACTGCGTTTAACCAAAGAAAGCCTCGTTGGGTTCCAAGGATATCTTTCGTGAGTGTTGGATTTGGGATGTTTGGCCAATTCCCTTTTGAATAAATGTTTGCCTTCATGTAGGAGGAAACTGGAGCACTCTGATAAGAACCCAGACGTCTTGAGGGGATTACCCTCAAATTCCACACAGATGGCTTCACACATCCGCTTGCTGGACTGCCATTTGCTGCCCACCTCATAAACCTGGCATGTTTGGAAGTTTTTCACAATTCTCCGTGGCACAGCGCTTAGCATCGCATTGCACTACGAACTTGTCAACCTGAGTCAGCGGGTGATATCCGAACCGGTCTTGCATCCCCTTCTCCCCCTTCTTGCAACCCACATGGTTGTGACGGATAGTCAAACAACCATCATAGCTGACAGACCACGTGGGGAGGCCTTCATCCAGCAGCGGATTGACAAAGGGGTTCACATCTATATTTTAAAAAAGTATTCGCACTTTTATTTTTCAATTGTTGCTGTCGCTTGGTTATGTGTCTTAAGAACATACATTTTTTTAAATCAAATATATGCATGTTGAACTTTGCATGTATGTTTGTTGGACTTCTTTCGCACCGTACGTAGCCAACCGTGGTAATCGGGAGGTGCGGGGGAAGGACAACAAAGTACAGCATGGCTACAGAAACATGCAGTGGTTTTTTTAACAGTAATGATTAGAATAGTGAAACAGTTTTTACGTGCGAAAGCCTCACTGAGTCTTAGGACTTTTTTTTGGCAGGATCCTGATTTGGGATGTTTGGAAATTGTATTATTGAGTGTTTCAAAATATAGCATTCCACAACTATCGTTGTCTGCTTCATTGCTTGGTGGAAACCACTTTTTTACCCCAGTGGTCACTGGGAAAATTTAAATTTGACTTGAAACAAAAAAAATGTCTCATTCACACCATTGCTTGAGCTAGGTGCCAGGTGCCAGGTGTCTGTTGGTGCTAATCCTGGTGAATTTGTTTTTCCTGGTGAGGGGGCGCACATGCTGACAGAAGCAAGTCCAGGCCTGTAGTGGTGACGCACGTACGACCCGGAGGACCCGCTGACAGGTACGTGAAGGTCACGACCCTGAAGTTCATGGCAGATTGAAAATACATTTCTTCTCGTTTGAAAACTAATTTCTTTCGCATGTCTTTTCGTGTTTAGTTTGTCGTCTTTCTCCCAGCACCTCCGATTGGGACAGTTGGCTACCCTACGGTGCGAAAGAAGTTCAACATACATACAATAGTCAACTGTTAAACTGCTGGCCGGCCTAGGGACACATGAGTGCGACAGCTTCGTCGAGTCACTGGCTGGGAACTTAACACGACCTACAGCGCCAGAGGGCACGCGTCGACTCTGCGGTTCTAATGATGATGATGAGCATTACATTTCACAGTGACAATATTCTTATCTAACCAACGGAAAGTGTTTGACGAACGATGATTGGTCTACAGAGCGCACAACCTGGGGTAATCATGTGACCTCTGTCTGAGGTCGGATTGGAAGTTACTGTTCCAGGTGCCCACTATGGAGAGCAGTGATCAGATTTGTCCAGATTTCAGCGACTTAATTTTAAACAACTTCCGACTAAAGTTGAAAACGCTTTTGGCGTCGCTTTGCACTTGAACTCTCCTAAAAGATGATCCAATGAGAACAACACTTTAGTATGTTGCAAGGAGGTAAATTAGCCTTTTGTAAAACTGGCCAAATTGATAAAAGTGTTGCCTGAAACGTGGAGACACAAACTAGACAAAAACAGGATTACATACATGCAAGATATGCAAACCTATTTGCCCCTGACACATTTCCTTGGTGCTAATTAATTACTTGGAAAGACCGGGGGCGCACGAATGAATGACTTTTCCTCCCTTGTTTAGAGTAGAAAACAAGAGCGGCAGTTTCCAGCGGCGATAATTGCCGGCGTCGTTCGCGTTTCTGTTTGCTCGATGTGTGTTCTTGCGTAAAAAAAAAACTCCGTTGTCCGTGGGTGTTTTAACGGTCAAGAATCTTGACAACCATGGTTTTTGGTAGAGAAGCGGGAGAAGGACTACCTGACCACTCTTTTTCTCCAGCGATCTCGTAGCCTCCGAAGGTTACAACGGGAGAGAGCGGTAAAATGCGACGTTTTTTTCGCATGCAAATCAGAATCTCTTTTTTTATACTTGAAGCCGATGAGCCTGCAAAGCTATTATTCACAGATGTCCGGTAGGGGGCGGGTCGGAACGTTACAACAGTAAAGAATACAAAAACATGATAGGAGTGCAGAGTGGAGGAACTGAATATGAGAGAAGAAGGTTCACCTTGGGGGGGGGGGGGGAGGTTTTAAAGAACGGATTTGAAATACCACAGCGAGCCCGTGCATGTAGTCACACATTCTATTCGGCTCTGGCAGGCAAAGGGTTTATTCACTACAGACCATGTGTGTCAGTGCTGTAGTGGAGAGTATACTGTTTGCAGTTAAATTCTGCATGATTCGTACATGTATATAAAAAAATGGTACTTGCTCATTTGCATATTCCCTCCCTGCAATGCGTGCTGTAACTGCCGCTACTGCCGACAGTCTTGGGCTGGTCATTCTTGTCAAAGAGCTGCATAGAAAAATGGTCCTCACCAGCCGAATTAGTAAAGTGCGAGTCTCAGTGTTGGATGTCTGCCGTGTTTGGGTTCGTGTCCAGGGAGGGCACTCTAAAGGCCGGAGACCGCCTGCTCACTGTGGACGGAATCCGGCTGCACGGGCTCACTCACGCCGAGGCTACGGCTGTGTTGAAGCAAAGCGGACAGGAGGCCCTCGTGCAGATAGAGTATGACGTCTCCATCATGGGTGAGTGTGGGCGCCACGGTGGCGAGATGTTCACTACCTCACCTGGTGAACAGGAGGTCGTGGGTTCGATCCTGACCCTGACGGCTGTACATTCGGAGTTTTCATGTTCTCCCCATGGTTGCATGGTTGTCTTTCATCGGGTCTTCCAGTTTTTCCCTTCCATATTTAGAATGGATGTGCGTTTAGGGTAATTTAGCTGCTATACATATCCACATGATAAGCCACTGGCCAGGTCGCTTCTGCAAAAGAGCTATATAGCTCACTGGGCCTGACCTGGTAAAAGAAACATTGTTTATCGTTTGTTAGCTTGTAGTTTATCGTGACCACAGCGACTGTCAATTTCATTGCCACCACAGAATTATTGCCACTACAGCTATCGCCACTGCTGCCACCACAACCGTAATTGTCATCTACGACACCGCCGCCACCACCACCACCACCCACCACCACCCACCCACACTTCCTATTAGCACGGTTGGCTACGTACAGTGCGAAAGAAGTTCAATATACATACCTACACCATCATTATCGTCAACATTTACCATGACAACCGGCACGACTATCACCTTCACCACAACAAACATGGCTAACACCATAAATGAGACCACTGCCACCAGCGCCATCAACGACACTTTCATGCCACTGCTCATAGCAGCCCCTCTCATGCTAGTTCCCTTCATGCTAGTTCTCCATGCTGTTGCCCCACGCTGATTGCGTGTGCGTCTCGCGCGTCCTACGACATGCGCTGGGAAGAATCTGTGATGAACGCGTCGGGACCTCTGCTGGTGGAGGTGGCCAAGATGCCCGGAGCCAGCCTGGGCCTGATGCTCACCTCGACCCTGAGCCACGGCAAGCCCTCCATCCTCATCGACCGCATCCGTCCAGCCAGCATCGCGGAGAGGTGAGTGGCGCACAGCCAGCATTGTGGTTAGGTGAGTGACATAGCCGGGATTTCAGAGAGGTGAGTGGCGCACAGCCAGCATTGTGGTTAGGTGAGTGACATAGCCGGAATTTCAGAGAGGTGAGTGGTGCACAGCCAGCGTCGTGGAGAGGTGAGTGGCGCACAGCCAGCGTTGTGGAAAGGTGAGTGACACAGAATCTCAGAGACGTGGGTGACACAGACAGAATCTCAGGTAGGTGAGTGACACAGACAGACTCTCAGGTAGGTGAGTGACACAGACAGAATATCAGAGAGGTAGGTGACACAGCCTGTCAAAAAGCCCGTACCAGTTATTCAGATGTAGGGTTACTGCGAAGCTTGCGGTATAATATTGACTCGTACGAAATGACATTTAACATCATGACGATTTTTGGGATATCTCTTTCACTTATGTCTTGTGCTGCCATCTCCTGCGTACCACTGACCGATGCTTCCAAAGTTTGTGGGGAGTGTTCAAAGGTGAAGACACTTTGATTCGCGTTTCATTAACTATTTTACTCTTCTTAACTACTGCCATAGTTCAGCGTGAGTTTTTCCAGTGCCTAGAGAATGCGTCTGGTGTTTGTCGCACTTCCGGAACCATTTTTTTTTTATCAGACACCCACTTGGGTAGCTTTTCATTGTTGCGCTGAAGTAGCTCTCCCCCGACGTCTTATCGAGTTTGGATGGTGCGTTGTTCATCAATTTGATTGATCTCCACGTGCTACATAACGTCAGACGGAGCCACATCCAGACAATTTGTCAAGGCGCCATTCTTGCGCCCGCTTCCCTACCCCCCCCCGTGAGGAGCACGAACGTGACGATTCGTGCTCCTCGACGAGAACTGATGGGTCCCTACGTTTGCAGGTGCGGAGCGCTGCACGTGGGCGACCAGCTGCTGTCCATTGACGGGACGGGCATGGAGCACTGCACGTTCCAGGTGGGAGCAACGCACGGTCGCTTCCTCGCGGCGGCGGCCACGCGGATCCCTTGTTGGGTGGCGTCGTGGACGAGGGTGCAGCTTTGTTGCGGGGGTTCACGCTTCGAGCCTCCATGCCTCCCTGGTGTAATGCTTGCGAGTGTATTCAATGTAACAAATTTTTTTTTTTTTTTACGTAAAAATACGCACCGTATGTCTGCCTCGCGGTGGATCTTAAAGATAAAAGTGTAGGGTCGCGTGTGCTGGCGTCATGGTCCAGAAATATGCCATAATTGAAATTTACTTGCAAAGTTACGAGATTGGGTGAAGCCACATAACAACATCGCCCCCCTCCCCCCCCCCCCATCGTAAAACTACCGCAGACCATGCTCCACTGTGAAACACAGCGCCTTCATTGTAGCCATGTGCTATACTGAATGGCACAAATACCAAACGTACAATTCATTTGATTTGATAACGCCTGGTCTCTTGTACCCAGGGCTCAATTTTGTACCAGCGCGATGGGCACGCGTACGTTGAAACGCAGACACCTGGGTGTTGGCTCACACGTGCCTTCTTGTGTTTCAGTGGCACACATCCCTTTTGCGTGTTTAATCATTCAAAAAAGTGAAGGCTCTCCTGACGGACTCGTGTGCCGGCTTGCTTTGTCATTTTGCGTGGTTTCAGGAGGCCCACCAGCTTCTGGCGAACACCTCGGAGAGCGTTAAGTTGGAAATTCTGCCGGTCCACCAGACTCGCGTTTCCATCAGGGGCTCTGATCACGGTACGGAGCTGATGTGAACATTTTCGTCACCGGGTCACATCTCGTCTGACGTTCGTACCAATTGCACTGTCAATTCCGTGTCTGGACAGGCGAGTATATTTGGAGTTTGCATTGTCTCTCTCCCCCCATGGTCGCGTGGATGGATTTATCTCTGGGTCCTCCGGTATTTCCCACGCACATTTAGACTCAACATGCGCTCAGAGGATTTGGTTGTTATACATTTCCACGTGATAAGCCGCTTCGTTGAGCAATCATTTGTTGCCAGGTGGCTTCTGAAAAAGAGCTACATAGCCCAGTTTATAGTATTACTTTATAGTATTCATTCAGAACTCTCGCAGGGCAGCACGACAACCACTTGGGAGAGTGGCCCGCAGAAGGGAGTTGATGTGGGGACTACTTTTGAGATCCCTTCACGTGGTATTTTCTTTCCACACACTCGGGGGAGGGGTGAACTTGCACCCCTTGCTCTGCTACGGAGAAATATTCATGACATGGCAGTCAAGCCCCCGAATGCTTAAGAATTCTCACAGCTGGAATTTATCTTCTTTGGTTCTTTCGGTAAAGTCACGTAGAATTTGAATATAATAATAAAATAAAACAATAAAATTCTCATGACGTTTCGGCCACAACACAAGTGGCCTTCTTCAGGTGAAAGGGACAGACCTGTTGTTGAAGCTCTGTCGTCCCAACAGGTCTGTCCCTTTCACCTGAAGAAGGCCACTTGTTTTTGATTTAAAGCTTTCGTGACTGCAGTAATTCATATTCTTAGTTTTTTTCAGTAAAGTCACGTTGAAGAGAAACAACAAAATAACAAAATATATATAAAACAATAAAAAATTCTCACGACGTTTCGACCATAACTCAAACGGTCATCATCACTTGTGTTGTGGCCGAAACGTCGTGAGAATTTAATTGTTTTATTTTATTATTTTATTCTCATTCTACGTGACTTTACCGAAAGAACCAAAGAAGATGAATCCTTGCAGTCACGAAAGCTTTAAATCGAAATAAAAGCTGGAATTTAGCCGAATTGAATGAAAAGCTCTTTAATATGGTGGCCTTTTGGATTCTCATAATTTGTGACCAGGAGGAATGATTGACTCGCAGGAATTGAGGGCCTGTTTTGATCACGAGCGGCTGAAACCCGAACTCGAACCTGTGATTTCTCATTGGTGCCAGCTGAGTGCTCAGAGTCACTTAGCCACCCATCATTGTGTTATTTATTTTATTTAGCCAGAAAAGCCTCAGTGACTCAGGACGTGTTCAAGAGTCTTCTGCATCACCCTAGAGAGAGGGGCTTTCCAGAGCTTCGTGACGCAGAGGCTCTTCCACTAGCAGTGGTCCCAGCAAGTAATTGCAGGGCTGCAACTTTATATATTTTTTTACCTTTACCTGCATCCACGGCGTTTAGCAAATTCATGAAATAAAATCCCACGTGTACAACTAGGCGGGGATAACATTGGACAGATGGGTTCTCGGCGAACCCTCTTGATGTACTTCATTCTCCCAGCCACTTCGCTGTCCCATTGGGTTTGAGAGTATATGGCAACGTATACGATCTGCACGTGATCCACAACCCCTCGTCTAGAATGCTGGTCACAGACGTACACCACCGCACTTATTCTTGGTTCTTTCGGTAAAGTCACGTAGAAGGGAAACAATAAAATAATAAAAATATAAAACAATAAAATTCTCAGGACGTTTCGACTGCAAATTTCAAATTTTCTTGTTGTGGTTTTCACACCCGATTGTGTTGCAGTCGAAATGTCGTGAGAATTTAATTTTTTATATTTTTATTATTTATTGTTTCCCTTCTACGTGACTTTACCGAAAGAACCAAGAATATGAATCCCTGCAGTCACGAAAGCTTTAAATAAAAATTTACCACCGCACTTGTTTGGGGAAAACCCCGCCCCCTCCACTTCAGAACATTCCTTGTAAGATTCAATGGTGCCCTAGTTATGACACCAGGAATGGGCTGATGATGATAATAACCCACTGGTTTGGATATGGCGGGCCCCACTGGAACCTACCTTCTCCCCTCACCTACACCGCCCCCACCTCCCCCAGGTTATCAAGGCACACCTGTCAGAATCTTTTGTTTTCCAAAATCTTTATTCATCCTTGAGAAATACGAAGAGCTAACGAAGCTCTTTACACAGAAGCCCAACAGGTGGCCGTGTCAGAAGAGGCATGTCGATGCCTCTAGTCGATGTGGTATTTAGAAAGGCATTTGTCCATGTGTGTTAGTGCGCTATGTCGCCGCAGCGAAGCGTTGACATTTCCCCGCGCGCATTCAAAATTTCTCCTGCATGGTATCCACGTCACAGCCTGCGCTATTGCTGAAAGCTGCCCCTCCCCCCCCCCCCCCTTTAGAGGGGGGTACGACCCACGGGTTGAAATCCACTGTCATGACCATTACACAGCTCAACAGTGAGTCTTAAACATGAGAACATGCAATATACGATTGCTTAAAAAGTACATTGAGGCAATGTGTTGTAAGGATATTTTTTCCCCCGTCATTCTTTCGCCTGTTGCTGTCTCCTGTGGGTCTGGCAGTGGCCACGGTGAGTAGGGGTCAGACCCTGGCTTTGTGTGAAGCTCCTGCGGGCTCTCTCTCTCCTCCCTGGCCTGTGGTTCTCCATTCTTCCGCAAGACGCCCGCCGATTCCTCCCCGTCAGGACCGCCGTAAAATTGCCCGCACTTTGTTTTACTTGGTTGTCTTGCTTTTGTCGCTTGGCTGATCCAGGTCAATTAGTGCAAATGAGGCCATCTCACCTGGTTAAGCAAATCAACCTCACTTGACTTTTAGTCCATGGGCCAGAGCAAACTTCGGTGCCATTAGAGGTGTAAAATATTTAATGAAAACAAGTCTGTTTTTGGCCACTGAACGTTTGTGATGCCATGCTTAATGAAATAAGGTCGTTTCATAATTCACTGTTATTGGCAAATTAAAAAAAAAGATGTTGGCGCAACTCGAGTTGGTAATTTCAGGTGATCCCAGCAAGGATAATATTTGATCTGGGCCCATGGGCTATTTTCTTGACGTGTGCGAGCGTTCCAGTGGCGTAGGTGTTGGGTGTGCGCAGGATGTGCAACTGCACCGTGCACCAGGGGCGATGCCAACCACGCTCCGCCACTGGTGCCACGCCCCGTTGCTTGTTTGTGCACGGAGATCGACTGACTTTCTTCACCTGTATTGAACCGTTGATTACCATCACTAGCTCATTCCAGTTTAATTCAGTCATTGTTTAACGTACAATGAAACCTTGGATTGCGAGCATAATTTGTTCCGGAAACGTGCTCGTAATCCAAAGCACTCGTACATCAAAGCGAATTTCCCCATGATAAATAATGTAAACTCGGATGATTCGTTCCACAACCCAAAAATACTGTATTAATATAAAAATGATTAATATAAAATACCTTTTTATATTTGTATTATTTAAATTTAATATAAAGTAATCAAATTTATTAATTACATGTAATCGTGGCTGGTGTGAGGGAGACGAGAGAGAGGAGAGGAGGAGGGTTATTGTGTAGGACGACTTTCACTTGCAGTACAGTTACTAAAGAACAGTCACTTCACTTGGACACAATATAAAAAAAATGCTTTACGCACACACACGTGGTCACAATACTATAGTAAACAGTATCTGCTCGCACGGATGTTGACTATACAAGTGAGGCACGTCGACTGAGACCGAGCATGGGAGATGATTACCCACAATCCCGCAGCGAGCGAGAGAGAAGAACCATTGGCTCAGTTGTGATCACGTGACGCTCGGCAGACAAAGCATATACTGTACACATACTGCTCGTATTGCAAGACATCGCTCGTTTATCAAATTATAATTTATTTTAAATTTTTGCTCGTCTTGCAAAACACTCGCAGACCAAGTTACTCGCAATCCAAGGTTTCACTGTATAATCCTCCCTTCTTCTAAAACGTATTCAATGAGCCCACGTTGTTCCATCTTTGCCTGTTGTGGTGTGTGCATTATCGCAGCCACTCGCTGTCCATTCTTAATATCCTGTGCACACTGGCTCAGTGATGAGCACGTTGCCTGCTTAGGCTGCCTGGTGTGGCGCCATTTAACTCTTGTCATGGAACAAAAACCTGAGGCTATCATGCTGCTATTGCTACCGTGTATTGTTTACATCTGCATGCATTCCGTTCCATTGTTGTGATTCTTGACCATCGGCCACCGTCCCTTCTCTTGGTGTGTTCTGTCCAAGCCAAATTAGTACTTTAAAGTTTGGATGATGTCTTTAACCTGCGTGTGGCCTCTAATCCATGAATTTCTCTTCTCTCATCGTAATTCCTCAAGCCGGCACCTGTCCATTATTTTTTGTGCACTTTTAAAATTCCGTTCAAATTTTGTTTCATAATAACAATACGTCACGACAGGTAGTAGCTCCCTGATTCAACATAGATTGGGTGGCAGGGTGGCGCTGTGCTAACACTTGTGCCTCACAGCAAGAAGAACCTGGGTTAGATGCACCTGGGTCAGGTTAGATTCCTGACCCAGGTGCATTTCTGTGTGGAGTCTGTATGTTCTCCAGGTTTTCCGGTTTCCTCTCTCGGCTAACTTGTATTGGCCAAAAAAATCTGCAAATTTCTTAATTTGAATTACACGCAGCAACATCTCCCCCTGCTGCGCAAACTTGCCAGGACCCTCCTGAAAACGTCTTGAGATTCTGAGGCTTTTCTGAGTAAATACACTGACTAATAATTTACGTATCACACCAACCAAGGGCCTGTAAGATGGGGTGATATTAAATAGTCCAGGAGATTTGTGCTTTTAGTTTTCTTCCAAGAGTTTTTTTTTTTCTGATCGTTGTTGACCTTAGTTATTTTTCGATACTGAGTTGGCACCTGTGCACAACCACAGATAGCAAAAACTCAACACATGAATGTACAACACCGCCCTAAGAGGAATATATATATGTACAATTGACAATGGGCCCCTCCTTCATAGCAGGAGGGTGGAGAAGCCACAGAGATTGAGAGAATAATAGTCCGGAGACTGCTAGATCCGATAACTTTACTCTCACCCCCCCCCGTAATTTTTTTTGAGGAGTTTGCTTGGGGAAGAAAAGCACAAAAAAACGCACCCGACAAAAACCCCCGTTGTCCAGGAAGTATAGTTTTGCTGAAAGCGGACAAAATAAGTATACGAAGCGAGCGACTTATTCACCCCGTGGGGGGGGGGGGGGGGGGGGGGGACCCTGATAGAAATGCAACGTTACGAATGAGCGCAGACGTTTTTTTTTCCGTCCCGTGTCCATTGCACAGCCGCGCTGGTGTCCGCCTCCTTCTCCCCGACTTCGCTGCGAGCTCACACTTGCAGCCTGAGCTCGCTGCACGTCGCCACGCTCCCCCGGGCGGGGCTCTACCCGCCGCCCATGAGCCCCCGGGGAAGCCTCGCTCGCAGCCGGATGAAGAAGAAAGATTTCAAGAGCTCCCGTGAGTGGCCCCGCGCGACGGGCGAACTTACAACGTGCGCGCATCGCTCGGCCGGCGATGGAGTGAGCGGCTCGCGAAGGGAAGGATTTTGCGAGTTCACATCCTGGCTGCGGGTGTAGACCGTGGGCATCTTCGCTTTGGGGTCGATAAAATGAGTATCGCTTTTTGGGGGGAGTCAACGTTGGTTGTCCTTCCCCTGCACCTCCAATTAGCATGGTTGGCTACGTACGGCGTGAGAGAGGTCCTACATGCATGTGTCAATTGCACCCTTTTTATCTCATTGAAAACCCTTCACCGCTTGGCAGAAAGTAAAATTTTTTCTGCCAGCAACAACAGATTGCTGGTGATCGGGGCACCTGGACTGTTTGGGTGGAACTTCTGCTCAAACTGCCCCTGTGAACGGTTCCTGAAGAAGCTCCCCAGCACATTGATGGGAACGTCGCACATCGTGCCGAACTGCAACCCGGCACAGCCTGAAAACACCTGGGAGAATTTAACCCGTCGCTCACCCCTCCTTCGCTGTCGCTCCCGTCGTCCGTCGAGGCCGCTGACTTGTCGCTCGCCCAACCTCGGCACGCTCTCTCCCCATTGTCCCGCGCCGCAGTCTCAATCGCATCGAGCACGCTGGGTCTCAACGGGCAGGTGGTCCACACGGACACGACGGAGGTGGTTCTACTCGGTGACCCCATGTCGGGCTTTGGCCTGCAGCTCCAGGGAGGCGTCTTCTCCACGGAGCTGCTGTGCTCCCCACCCCTGGTCGGCTTCATCGAGCCCGACAGCCCGGCCGAGAGGTACAGTCGAGCAAACAAACAGCCAAAGGTTCCCCGAAGTAGCCTTAACGGACTGTTGGGGCTTGTGTTGTCAGCGGGCACATATTAAGGCTGACTCGGCGCACGAGAGAGCATTGGGTGGCCAGCATCATGCCTGCTCAGCGGTGAGGTTAACACACCGCACCGTGGCACTTAGAACCCGTTCAAATATTCGCCCCCTGTTATTGGTCATGAGCGGGAATCGAACTCGGATCGCCGGGTTCGTAGTGCAGTGTGCGAGCCACTACGCTACCGGTTGAGCACATGCACACACACACACACTCTTCGCTCTACAATGGGCATGGTGGGATTTTGTTTATACGTTCAAACAACTCCAAGCCGGACTTGACTAAGCCAGAATTCAGAGTAAGCCGAAGAAGCTACGGAAATAAGTAAATAAGATATGTAAATATTGACTTAAAGCTTTCGTGACTGCAGGAGTTCAAATTCTTTGGGTCTTTCGGTAAAGTCACGTAAAAAAATGTGTTCTACGTGACTTTACCGAAAGACCCAGAGAATAAGATATGTAAATGTCCTGCTAAATACAAGTTAACCTTGTACCGTCAGTTTGCAGCCCGTGCTTCCTCCTGCTCCTCCCCCCGCTTCTGCTGCTGTGCCCCCTTTCTCTCTGGCCCCTCCCCCCACCTTCACTTCTTATTTAAGGCTTCTGTTCATCCGACACCGTTTTCCGCTCTTCTCTGTTCGTCCTTGCCTCTTGGTGTCTCTGTATATGTATTTCTGACTTGTACCTCGTATTTGTTCACTCTGTCTATGCTGGTGTGTTCAATCGAGAGGTTGAACACGAAATTTAACACTCTTCTGAAATTCGTGGTCCGCCAGATAAGTGTCTAACTGTGTTGTTGACCTGACTGGTTGTGCATCACATATTTTTTTTTGGGTTTGTTGAATTCTCGTCTCTCATCTTCTTGTTGTATTTACCTCCGTGATTTGTTTTTTTACACCTGATGAAGATCGCTTGTGTTGCGGTCGAAACGTCGTGATTGATTTGTTTTAATATAATTTTATGGTATTCCTACATATGTGGCTTTACCGAAAAAAACCAATGTGTAACATTTCCCCCCACTTTCAATTCACTATCCACGACTAATTTACTACGCTCCGTAATGCATCGTTGAAAGTGGACCGTTATATCGTAGGACCGTGAGAAATGACCATGGCATGTGTTGATTTTCGTCAGCATGTCTGTATGTCTGTATGTATGTCTGTATGTTGAACTTTTTTCCCACCGTACATAGCCAACCGTGCTAATCGCAGGTGCGGGGGAAAGACAACGAACTAAACTTCAAAAGCAGTTCTAAAGAAACGCAGCAGAAAGCGTGCGGCGCGGCCGACCGTCTTTGTTCGACGGCCAGCGCGGACGAAGTCCAGCAGCAGGATCCAACCATGCCCCACGATCGCGGCTTTTTAGCGGCGAGCTTGGCCGCGCGACGTCACGCGTGCGTTTTGTGTGTGCATCGCGAACTGGGGCCTGCAGGTGCGGTCTCCTCCAGGTGGGCGATCGCGTCCTGTCCATCAACGGCATCTCCACGGAGGACGGCTCGCTGGAGGAGGCGTCGCAACTGCTCCGAGACTCGGCCTTCGCCGGCCGAGTCACCGTCGAGATAGAGTTTGACGTCGCAGGTAGCCGGCCCGCCCCCCCCCCCCCCGACGTAATTCGAATTGTCCGCGCGCGTGGCACTAAGCGCCGCCGTTCTTTCTTTGAGCACGAGGCCATCGCGAAGGTTGGTGCCGTGTTTCGTGGGACGTGGTCTGCGATGGTTTTCACGATAGCGGGGCCATGTTACAATGTGTCTTCCCCTATCGACTATCTTGCGGGTGTACATATATATTTGTTAAATGGAAAGGTTTGGACCGTGACGCCCGCACATGATCGTCTTGCTCTATGTAGAGTAATGTCGTGTGTTCTTCATTGTACCGCTGTTTAAAAACGCCGTGTTCTAAATGCACAAATTGCCCTTGATCTGAATGTATGCTTCATTCTTTATTATGTGTAATGTGATTAGTAATTGGTTTATTTTAGGTTATGTGTACATATAATATCAGGTTTTAAACTATAATCCTCTTCAATCAGACAGAGCCAGTGAAATCAAGTTGTCACGTGGGCAAATATACCAAATTGATTAGTTTTTTTAGCAAACTATAATGTTGAAAAGCAAGGAAAATTTTCGAAAACATTTAGTTTAATGTTTCGCTGAACATTACATCCGGCGTGATCAGGCGTTTACAAAATCTCAGCCTCCAATATGAATCTGTGCAATGTTTGCTCTGATTTAACTTGAACTATTTTTTTGTTATATATGTTTATATTTTCATGATATTTTTTTTGCTGTATACAAGAACAAAGGCCCGTAGCAGAACGTTGGGTGACAAAATAAACAACCGCACGAGAATATCCCCCAGGCCTATGTACCCAACACGTTCTGATTGATAGGGGAGGAACAGTAACCAACCTTGATATGTACTTAGCAGCGTCTGTTTTTCCAGCCAAATGCAAGAGATGGTGCATGTCTCGATTCACTGTTGAACTCCGAATGTGTATTCCTTTCGTTTTTTTTTCTTTGTGTTTACAGAATCCGTGGTGCCCAGTAGTGGCATCTTCCACGTGAAGCTCCCGAAGAAGAGGAGTGTGGAGCTTGGAATAACGATCAGCTGTGAGTGGGTTTTGCCATCGGAATTTCTCTCCTGTTAATATCGAGTCCTATGTTCCTAGCCTGTTTACCTTACTTCCGTGTAATGTTTTATCCAGCTGGATTGTAATGCCAATATTTTCAAAGTAATTTGACCGAGCCAGCTTATGTTACACGAAATTTGATTTGATTTAATATCGATGTATGTGTTGGCACGCTGCGCTACGAACCCGGCGGCCCGAGTTCGATTCCCGCTCACGGCCAACGCCGGTGACGATTTTCTGAACCGGTCCTGGACCTCCCCCTAGGTCGACTCAAATGAGTACCTGGTGTGGTGTGTAGTAAACATCGACACTAGGGAGACAAAGGCGGTCGGGCGTGGTGCTGGCCACCCACCACCCCCTCGTGTGCCGTGCCGGCCTTCAAAGGTGCTCGCTAATAGCACTTTACCCCAACAGTCTGTTTAGGCTATTCAGGGGATTTTTGTCTTTGATCATTATAGATATATATAGCTGGCTTGGCAGCTCAGCGGTAAAGTGAACGGCTAGCAATCAGAAGGTTGCGATTTCAAATCTTGTATGTGCGATGACTCGGCACCATCACCCCTCCGGGGTCAGTACAATTGACTACCACTTGGTGGCAAAGTCAACAGTGGTTGTCCTACGGATAGACTCGCTCTCGTGCCATAGTAATAAGCGATCTCCAACACTGGCACAAGGTTGGGAACAGGAGATGAGCACGGCCCTGTGCTCGTTTATGCGACGAAGCCAACCCGACGAGAAACCAACGTCGAGTTTCCGTCGTGGGAGGCAATCGTGAGCGCCGGATGGCTGCGCTGCTGTCGCATGTAAACCGACGACCTCGCCGTTCCAGCTCCGTCACGACGCAGTTTCGGGGAGCCGCTGGTCATCACGGACATCAGGAAGGGCAGCGTGGCGCACAGGTGAGTGCAGACTCCCACAGCGACGGGACAACTCCACGCCCACGGTGACGATGTTATCTCCCTCGCCTGGTATGCAGGGGGTCGTCGGGGGTTCGATTCCATGCCCTGACGCCTGTACATTTGGAGTTTGTGTGTTCTCTCCCCGTGGTGGCGTGGATTTTTTTCTCCGTGTTCTCCGGCCTTTCCCTACATTTTGAAATGTGCTAAAATTATTTCGATTATTTGGCTGCTAGAAATTTCCACGTGATAAGCCACTTCCTTGAGCTACCATTTATGGCCCAGGTCACTTCTGAGAAATAAGCGAACAGCTCAGTGGGCTTTACCCTGCACTCCTATTGTGTTTGTGTATTGTTGTTGTAACTTTCTGACCCGCCCCTACTGCACATCTGTGAACAAGAGCTTTATAGCTCATCGGATTCCTCCAGTATAAAAAAAAAGATTCTGCTCTCCGAAACTTAGCGTTCGTTATCATCGCTAAACAATTCGGAGGACAAACTCACCTTAGAATGCGTTCAAGGGCCCTTGCACACACACGTGGCATTTAGTCTCCCTTGTTTATGTCGCGTATTGCTCGATCAGGCCACCGAAAATTACGCAGAGCAGGGTGACGGGTTTCTCCAGCTGCAGGTATTTGAGTAACGCCACAGCCCTTTTCATTGTAAACCGCTGTGCGCGTGTGCTGCGGGTCCGCGTCGGGGAAAATAAGAATCGGAACGCTGGAACCCGGGGACCGACTGCTCGCCATCGACCAGGTCCACTTGGAGAACGCGTCGATGGCCGACGCGGCGCAGGTGCTGAGGCAGTGCGAGGACCTGGTGAAGCTGAAGATCCGCAAGGATGACGACGGAGCCAGTACGTTTGTACGCATGTTTGTTGGACGCCTGTATGTTGAGCTTCTGTCACACACCGTACGTAGCGTAAACCGTGCCAGCCGGGTGTGCGGGAAGGACCTCAAACTAAACACATGAAGCAGTAAAATGAAAAAAAGTGCATTGCTCCAGTGGCTTCCTAATGTTGGAAGGAAGAGTTCTAAACGCTCGCAGGAGCACACCTGAGAGCGCTTTTGTTATGAATCTGAGAGCGCGCGATGCGGTGACAACAATGGATTTAGCCGCACTGCCCTCTGCTGACCCCACCACGTAGTGCATCTCCGCAGCCGCCCTATAACAACCTGGCATGCACAGCGACCTCCCATACAAGCGCCTCTCGGGCTCAGCCCCTGCCTTAGCTCCAGAGATGTCACGAGATCCGCTGTCATTCCGGATGATTTGACCAGGGGCATCCCTTACACAGCGTCATAGTACTTGCGAAACATTTTACCCATGGGAATCGGAGCTGGGGGGGGGTGGGGGGGGGGGAGGTGCGGGGGGGTGTGCTATTGCAAAGTTTTCCTTCGTGACACGCGTGAGTGTGCATCGTGCAGACGACGAGGGAGGAGCGATTAGCTACACCGTGGAACTGAAGCGCTACGGGGGTCCCCTGGGCATCACCATCTCCGGCACCGAGGAGCCCCTCGACCCCATCACCATATCTGGCCTCACCCCCAGTGGGCTTGCAGAAAGGCAAGTTCCCATCCCCAAATGCATGTACGGTACACGCACGGCACCGAGTTTAATCTGTGATCGTGTCCCAGTGCTAAGAGGTGGCAGATCACGTCAACCCACGTTATAGCTCCCTTAAATTGAACGCGTGAAAGCCTTCCACGTCATTGGTGGTGCGTGGCAGCTGGCCTAGACCCGACGTCCCGTCGCCCGGGCCGGGGAAGTTGTGACTCCCGGCGCTTGTGCGAAATTGTACAGCGCTGGCATAACTTTCACTCGCGCACGCGCGGCCTCTTTGTGCCAATCCACTGCTGGATGAGGGCCTCCCCACGCTGTGCGGGCCGTGGTAGTGGGGGGGGGGGTACTTAAGTGTACTTCTTCACACTGGCCAGTGCAGGTTGGTGAAGACAGAGCGGTAGGGGGGCATAGCAGTTCGGTACAACAACGGATTTGGCTGCACTGCCCTTTACTCATTGGTTTTTTCGGTAAAGTCACGTATGTAGAAATACAATAAAATTATATTAAAACAAAAAAACAATCACGACGTTTCGATCACAACGCAAGCGATCTTCATCAGGTGTCAAGAACAAATCTCTTGCGTTGTGATCGTAACGTCGTGATTGTTTTTTGTTTTAATATCATTTTATTGTATTTCTACATACGTGACTTTACCGAAAAAACCAATGAGTAATTGTATGCAGTCACGAAAGCTTTAATACTTTATTATTGCACTGCCCTTTGCTGACCCCACCATGTAGTGCAGCCCCCACAGCCACTTATAACAACCTTGGTTTAACACGTAGCGCTTTCGCTACCATTATTATCCGGTAATGGTAAATGTTGTAGGTTCACTCTCCAACGCACCAGTGTGCTGAACTAGTAAAGAACTGGTATGTTTTATTTACGTGACAAACCTTAATCATTTACCGTGTCGGGTGGTGGCAAGTTTAACGACAACATTTATATATGTGTACGCGATCTAACCCAAAAACCTCCTTACGGATATAACAACCTTGCATTGCACAGTGATCTCCCAGCCAAGCGTGTTTCTAAGGCTCAAAAATGCTTAGTATCAGAGATCTGATGAGATTCGCCACCATTATGGGTGATTTGACCAGACACATCGATAATTATACAGCGTTATATTACTTGCGAAACCATTCACCCATTGGTGTCGGATTCATTCGCAGCTGGTAAGTTGTGACGAGATGTTCACTTCCTTGCCTGGTATACAGGAGGTCGTGAGTTCAATCCCACCCCTGACGCCTGCTGTATATTTGGAGCTTGCGTGTCTCTCTCCCCGTGGTCGTGTGGATTTTTTTCCGGGTCCTCGGGTTTTTCTTCCACATTTAGAAACAATGCGCTTGGAGTATTTGGCTATATTTTAACATAAGCCACTTTGTTGAGCTATCATTTGTGGCCAGGTCCCTTCTGAAAAAGAGCTATATAGCTCAGTGGGTCTTACCTGGTAAAATAAAAATAGTTTTGTTCAAAGAGTCCATGTGTGACACGGGACTTGACAAACGGCCTCGTCAAATCACAAAAGCTAGGCTGGTTTCATCCTGGACTGTGCTTGCAACAGATCTGGTAGGCTGCTGCAGGGACAGGTTTGTGGGTAGCAAGAGGAAATTGTGGCAAAAAAATATATATTTTTGTACGGTACTATGCTCCCGCATCTGTACCCCTCGCCTTCACCAACCCGCACTATCCAGCATGGTGAAGTATGACCAAATAACTCCAACGACCGCCACGGCATTGGGAGCCCTTCATCCAGCAGTGGACTGTTTAAAGGGCTGCGCACGATGCTATATATATGTAAATATATTCCGTAACAGAAGTCCTCGTATTCGCAGCGTAATCGCTTGCTCTTTCCGATCGGCGTTTTTCAGGACTGGCGCCATCCACGTGGGAGACCAGATCCTGGCTATAAACAACGTGAGCCTCAAAGCGAAGGGGCTGACTGAAGCCATCCAGCTGTTGCAAAGGTCCAGCGAAACGGTCGCGCTAAAGATTAAAAAACCCACCCACCAACGTAAGTGGCAGACACGATGTTTTTTTTCCTCTAGCTGAACATATCGCATTTTCTAATGCCGTCCGACCTTAGGTTGAAAGCATCTGTCTGAACGTTCAGCTCTGTCCGTTGTAGTTGTTGCTCTGCATCTACTTCAGCCGTACGAAAGAAGAAGAAGACCATGCCCTACTGCATTCATTTCGAGGAGTTTTGTAGAAAGTTCGAGGGCAAGAAATGCTCAACACGCAGCCAAAATCTTGCTTTAAAAAAAACACCACTCGGTTTAAAAGTAGCTGTGAAAACTTCCGTGTTTAACATTTGTAGTTTATCCATCGACCCGACCGTCCGATCGCTTCGGCACACCATTCCTCTCGACGTGTCCCGTAGGGACGCGCGACGCTCCGAAGCTTGCCGTCAAGTTGACCGAGCCGGCGGACGAGCTGGCCGACATGAGGACACTGGGCAAGCTGTCCGACGCGTTCTCCGCCGCGGCCGTGCCCAGCGTGGACGGCACCGCGGACTCGTGGGACAGCTCTGGCGTAGAGACGGCCTACAGTAGCCACGGTGATTCATTCATCATTCATCCCCCCCCCCCACACCTGCCACTGCGCGCTTTCGGCCGGTTCACACTGTCGACGCTGTCGATCGTGGGCATTTAATTGGCGCTGTATGGGTTGGCGTGCAGTGGTGTAAACACTCGTGCCTCGCAGCAAGAAGGGCCCGAGGTTAAATACCCGACTCGGGCGCCTTTGTGTGAGGAGTTTAAATGTTTTATCCCCCTCTTCTGCGTGGGTTTCTTCCTGGGGTTCCCGGGGTTTCCTCCCATAGATAAACAAAATGTGCAACGTGACTGGTATTGGCCAGACATTCCAATACCAAAAATGTACTTCCAACTTACACAATTTGGACAACTTTAAACTAAACTATATTTTTTTATTTTACCAGGTAAGGCCCATTAAGCTATGTAGCCCTTTTTCAGAAGCGACCTGACCACAAATGATTGCTCAACGAAGTGACTTATCACGTGGATATTTATAGTAGTCAACTACTCTTAAACGCATGTTTCTAAATGTGGAGGGAGAAACTTAGAGGACCCGGAGAAAAAAATCCACGCAACCACAGGGAGAAAACGCGCAAATTCTAAATATACAGAAGGCAGGGTCGAGATCGAACCCACGACCTCCTGCATAACAGGCGAGGTAGTTAACATCTCGCTACCATGGTGCCCACTACACATAGGAACATCGGCCCCCATCTGTAAAACCTTGCCATGACCCTCCTGAAAAAAATATCTTAAGACTGAGGTTTTCGTGTGTAAACCAGCATAATAAAGGAACGATCAAAAGTTGCTGGTTTGCTGTGAACGTAAACATTTTGACGTGATATGAAAAAACTACCCCTGTCAAAGCAATGCGTATATCAACCGTATGTCACCTTCCAGCCAGCCACGTTTCAAATGAGATTTTATAAAATTGGTAAGTTTGATTTTTTTAAAATTACTTCACAATGAATGGGGGGACATGGACCTTATGTAGTACATCTCTGTTCCAGATATTACCACGAGATGGCAGCAGCAGCAGACAAAAAAGTGTGTGTGTGGCATGCAAACACATCCTGCATACTTGAAGTGTTGGGAAAGGAGGGCATTGCCAGGTCCCGAGAATGGATGGGCACCAGCTGTGAAAGTCTCAATATTGATCGAGTGTGGGCCATAATTTTATTCACAGATGGAAAAAACATCCAATTGTGATGCATGTAGCATCCATTAATAGCGTATATTGGTGTGATGGCAGTGAACTCTCGATTATCCGTGGGTGGATTTTCTGGGTTGCGGATTAACTTTGCTTGCTTAAAACAAATTCTGTACTTTACCGATTCTATCGAGAGCCACTTTGCACCCGGCCACGGGGCTCGGAGCGCGCAAATCTTTGCAACGGGCGGAAAACACCCTCCCTCCCGCTCGACCGCGTCGCCGCGTTGGAGCTGCCGTGCCCTTGCCGTGTCCGCCGTGTGCCGTGTGCGTGGCAGGTCCGCCGCAGTACCAAGTACAGGGGGGGCTGTCTCTTCTGCCGTGCGTGTGGCGTGCGCGAAAAGCAGGTACCGCGTACACGGGAGACCACGCCTACTCCCCCAGCGACATTGGCGCCGGCGACGATGACTGGGACAAGGCCGCGGCCACGTGAGTCGAAATCGAAACCCTACCGCGTCGTCGTCGTCGTCGTCGTCTCTCGAGCCTACGCAGGCCGCCGAGTGCGTGGCCTGGTGGCAATGCCTCCCCCAATGCTTCCTCTCATGAATGGCGGCGCTGGCTTTCTGCCCATGATGTTTCGCTTCACTTCTATGCAATGCCTCAGTCACTCGCACCCTTTGATCTGTCTTTTGCTAGGCTTTGCCCATCCTCCATATCCCACTATCAGTGGCCACATCGCCTATCCTGTGTGTTCTAGGCTGTCCAATATCTAGGCCAGTGTTGGCCTATGCAGGAATTATAAGAATATTAATTCTCTCCGAGCATGCTGCTACACATTCTGCAGGACTGACATGCATTACAGTTCTCTGAAAAGCACCGCATTTTGTCATTCAGCCGCATAAGTTGTACTTATGCTTATCCATATGACCAAACCATCCGGAATGAGCCTGATATCATCAGACCTTGGAAGCTAAGCAGGCTTGAGCTTGGAAAGTGCTCGAATGCATGACAAACCATGCATAAAACGTGTTACAGGCTGCTGTGGGGGCTACTAATTATTGTGCTTTACTTATATGCTCTCGCATCTCTGCTCTTTGCCTTCATCAACTCGCACATGCCAGCGTGGTGAAGTGCAGTCAAATAAACCCCGTGACGTACACGACGTGGAGAGGCCCTCATCCAGCAGTGGATTGACACAAAAGCGGCCGTGTGTGCACGTGCGAGTTACACCGCCGCTGTGCGATTCCACAGAAACGCTGGGAGTCAGAACTTCCTCAGCCTCGATGACGGATGCTACTGGAGAAAGCCTCTCCGGGACATGGGGTCTCGCCAGCTGCCCCGAGCAATGAATGACCTGGAGGTAAGGTTTTCACATGTTTCTTTAAAAGAGCTGTAATGCGGGTTAACTTGCTCTTATCATCTCTGAAAATTGGGAAATTAAGAACATGATCACAGGTTACTAGGAACTACGGTCCCCTTTAATATATAGATATAATAATTATTTTACTAAACAAGAGCCCAGTACAAAGCATGAGCGACGGGGAGAGGGCATACAGATATTCTGCAGACGACAAGCCCAAGGCCAGATGCCCACGGGGCAGGAGAAAGGGAGACCATGGTCCCTCTTTAAACTCTCCATGCGCCCACCAGCCGACCCACCACCCGACCTGAAATCTCACATGAACCCCCGATTTTTGCAACGGTTGTGGACTTTCTCTGTACATTCTCAGACAACGAATGGCTGTCCTCTCTCCTCTCCGTCCCACCTCTTCTCCCCACAAAACCAGCAAAGATCAAAGCATGAACACATCAGTGATATTCTTGGTTCTTTCGGTAAAGTCACGTAGAAGGGAAACAATCAAATAATAAAACTATAAAACAATAAAATTCTCACGACGTTTCGACTGCAACACAAGCAATCATCATCAGGTGTGAAAACCACAGCAATACAATTTGAAAAAAGTGGCGTTTTTTTAACGTTAGCATCACGGAGAGCGATTTCACAGTTTGTTCAGATGGACGAGTCCATCTATGTTCGGAAAAGAGGAGGGGGGAGACGAAAAATAATGTATGCAGTCTGATTTTACAGGAGATGCGAGTCGTGTGAATAATTTGAGATGCACGCAATAAGTTTGTACGGATTGTGTGATGAAGTAATAAATATTATACAAAAGATATTGAAAGATAACCAGCCAGTCAGAGGGCATGAGCTCAAAGCCCCATTAGGAGATTGACTCAACCCATCATCCCTCTAGGATAGATAAAATTAGTACCATTTTGTCCTGTGGAGTAGCTGTCCCCCAGCATGGGATAGTGGAATTTCTACCGCTGGTTCAGGCAGGCCAACCGAGTGAGTGCCTCCCAACGCTACTAGTTGATTTTAACTTAATTATGCCCTTTGCGAACAAAACCTTTTTGACTTAAAACTTTCATGACTGCAGGAATTAATATTCTTTGGGTCTATTGGTAAAGTCACGTAGATAGGTTCAAAGCAAATAACAAAAACTACGACGTTTCGATCGCAACAAAAACTACAACGTTTCGATCGCAAGGCTTGTGTTGCGATCAAAACGTCATAGTTTTTGTTATTTTCTTTGAACCTATCTACGTGACTTTACCGAAAGACCGAAAGAATATGAAAACTTTTTTCATAAGTTGGTCTAAAAAGGGTTGTTTTACTTCCTCCAGTGACCTCTTTAGCCTCGGGGACCCCCCCCTGATCGATGGCAGCTGTCCCCCCCCCCCCCCCCCCCCCCCCCCCCCGTTGTTTCAGACAAACCTGCTGCACTCCAACAGTACCTCGAGCCTTCACAGCAGCACGTTGCTGGAAGCGTCCATGCAGAGGCATGGCCACACGTGCCAGAGGAGCAGCAAGCCCCCCATTGGAACAGTTCCCAAGCGCAGCTACAGCCTGCCACGCAACACCCAGGACAGGCAGCCAACGAGAGAGAAGACGGAAGACATGTCCTCCGCTTCGATGCAACTCCACAAGGTGCGATGCCAGCGCGAGACGGGTCGTGTTTGTTCACTGCCGTGAACTCGCGATTGGCGATCCCATGAGCTGTGAAGCTCTTTCCCACAAATGTTCAGCAGGGTTGGGTCAGAAAGTTACAACAGCAAACAATAAAAAAAAATGATAGGAATGCAAAGTATAGGAAAGGTAAACCAATCACAAAAACATCTACAAAATAAAAAATAGACTCAAACTCGGTAGTCACCTGGCCACAAATGATAGCTCAACGAAGTGGCTTATCATGTGAAAAGTATAGCAGCCAAATAGTCTAAATGCAGGTTTATAAATGTGGAGGGAAAAACCGGAGGACCCGGAGAAAAGAGCCACACAGCAAAGGGCAGAACATGCATACAGAATTTGCCAAACATCATTCCAATGCCGAACGATTACCTGCAAATTACTCGATTTGGATCACATGGAGCAACGTTGCCCCCTGTTGTGACGACTTGGGGGGGGGGGGAAATCTCCTGAATAAGAGTCTTGAGACTCGGCGAGGTCCTCCTGGGTGACCAAGCATAATGTTAAAAGAGGTTCCTGTTTTATTGCAGTTGATGCTCTACAAGGACAGAGACGGTGAAGACTTTGGCTTCAGCCTCTCAGATGGGCTGCTGGAGAAGGGCGTCTTTGTCAGCGCGGTGAGGCAAGCGGGCCCGGCCTCCATCGGAGGGCTCCAGCAGTACGACCGCATCCTTCAGGTCCGCAACCCGGTTGTTTTGCCATTCCCGCTCACGGCAGGGATTCATATTCTTGGTTCTTTCGGTAAAGTCACGTATAAGGGAAACAATAAAACAATTAAAATATGAAAAACAATAAAATTCTCACGACGCTTCGACTGCAACACAAGCAGTCATCATCACGTTTTTACACCTGATGATGATTGCTTGTGTTGCAGTCGAAACGTCGTGAGAATTTTATTCTTTTATATTTTTATTATTTTATTGTTTCCCTTCTACGTGGCTTGGTTTAGTTGATTTTGTTTAAACAGGTGACAACCCAAGGATACCAGGATGGTGTCTTCATTCGCAAGAGTGACCTTGGTCACAAATCTGATTTTATATAAGTAATTGGTCACTCTTCCAATTATTGATTCGATTACTCTCAACAATCAAATAACACAAATATGTTGGAGAGAAAAAAGTCTCACCCTCCACTCCCACGTGAGCCGCTGGACGGGAGTTGGCCGGTGGGGGCATCGTATGTCAAGTCATGCTGGGCGTGGCTTATAGGTGGGGTTTCCAGCATTCGGGAGACAGAATGTCGGAGCGATCACAGAAAACAAAAAAGTACTCGATTGAAATGTTTATTCGTTGGATCTACGTACTCGACTTATCGTCCCAGCTCTATAATAATTATCAAAGCGCATGCAGGTGGTGGCTGCTACTGGACTGTATGCAGTGGCTTCATCACACACGGTCAGTCCTACTGATGCAGTACAGCACAATGTGAACGTACAGAGCGTCGAATTGCGGCGACATCTCACAACGCTGCACGGAAGCCGTGGCCTTCTCTGCTCGTTGATTTATTTCTGCTTTAGGTGAACCAGGTGCACACACGCAACGCCGATTGCTGCCTGGTGGTTCCCCTTGTAGCCGCGTCGGACGATTGCCTGCAGCTCTTGGTTGGACGTACATTTTCAAACCCCGAAGAGGTGCGTTTGTAAAATTTTGATTTAAAGCTTTCGTGACTGCAGTAATTCATATTCTTGGCTCTTTCGGTTAAAGTCACGTTGAAGGGAAACAATAAAATAATAAAATATATAAAACAATAAAAATTCTCGCGACTTTCGACCGTAACACAAACGGCCATCATCATGTTTCTTGTCGTTGGTTTTCACACCTGATGATGGCCGTTTGTGTTATGGTCGAAACGTTGTGAGAATTTTTATTTTATATATATTTTATTATTTTATTGTTTCCCTTCAACGTGACTTTACCGAAAGAGCTAAGAATAGGTACGTTTGTGTCGTGGTCTTCTTACAAAGGTAAAGATCTTCCCATGCCCCCTCCGCATCGCCTACATAGGCTGTTGCAGCAAGTGCTGTTCGCGAGCACCTCTGTGCGCCCGTGCTGTTGTATACACACCGCGCCATGTACTCGTTATGGCTGAGACAACATCTGTAGAAACCCAGGATCGGTTCAGATATTTGTCACCGATGTGTCCAATGGGTGTTTTTTTAGCTTCACGCGGCACTTTTCACGAGCGCCTCCACCGCGTTCGAATGAGGGATTTACTGAAATGAACTAGAATCATGATTGCACACCCATGTGTAGATGTAAAATTGCAAGGACAAAAAAAAAACCCCCATCTAATAACACAATAACATAAAGTTTCACGTTTCCTTCTGTTTTTTTCTTTGAAGCGCTGCGACATGAACCCGACTCGCCCTGATCCTATCCATCAGAGTCCGTGGATGGGTAGGACTTCGAGAGACGGCGAGCGGCGAACATTGCAAGAAAGCAGCAATGTGAAGACCCTGTGACTGCTCGCCATGACGTTGGAGGTCCCCGGAAGGGACCGACTCCCGTCAGTTTGTCAAAAACCGAGCTGTGAAGTTGTTGGTTTCGTGTATCGGTTCAAAGTGTATTTATATAAATATCAACACTGAAGTTAAGTGGTGCTCAATGACAGCATAAAGTTTTTTTTTTATATATATGTTTAGCTTTTTTTTCCCTCCCAATCGTGTTTCTCTTTGTTCCTCCGGCGTTTTCCCATGAGAAGACTCACATTTAATTTGGCTAAATGATAGCTATCAAAGATTGTACGTGGTTCGGTTTTTTGTATTCTTTCTCAGCAGTCATCATATTCCTTTATCCGCAGCTGGATGGTAGCGGAATGAGGACCGCTGCAAAAAATGGGTTCAGAACTTGATTTTTTTTGCCATTCTCATCGAAGAAGGTTTTCGCGTAGATAGGCTCTACGTTTCACACATTAGTGTAGTCTGCAGAAGCTTTAAAGGAGCGGGCGATGTGTAAGTTTTCAAATTTTCGACTTTTAAAAAAATTTGGACCATTACGACGGCACACAAATGGCCTCTTTGTGTAATAATGTAACGGGATCTTTTAACGTCCACTGAGAGGCGGACACTGCCTGTCCCGTAATGGTTAATACGCTTGCGGGATTATTAACCAGGGCGTCCGCCAGACTCGAACCGCAATTGGCCTGCAGTGAAAACCCTCTCCAAAACCTCTCGCATACTGTGCCTTCGTGATCTTGTCCCACGCCTTTACACACCTTGAAAGTGGTCCAAAAGTGTTTGTTGATGTGTGTAGATGCTAGGATCATGCATTTCTCAAGTGATAAAGCAAGCATAAATTTTCTTCAAATCAATTCCAAGTTCATTTATTTTCCCACGTTTGTGATGTGGAAAAGTTCCCGTTTGAAGATGTTAGAATAGACATTGGTCTGATAAACCTCCAATGAGCACACTTGGCTACGAACGGTGCGAAAGAGGTTTCCCATAACGTACATACATAAAAAGTAAACATACATTTTCCTTTAAGCAGAAGATTAACTAAAGGCCCGATTGAGCCATTTTAAACATTGCCTCGTTTTCAAGGGTTACCTGGGAGTGTTGCTACAGAGCCAATTGCAAGTCGGGTCACAGACTCTGCAGGACATATATAACGCCGATTTATTATGACCTGGAAACACATTACAGCACAATTATGAGAGAAAAGCATGTCGGTGATTGGATCTGGCAGGTGTTGCGGCATGCGGAGTGGTAAAACACGTGCAGAGTGGGATAATACGATTTCACTCGATGACCGTCTTCTCTGGATAAGTATAAGGCACTCGAGGAAAGTAAATCACACTCCAAACTTGTGCCCGATGTCAATGAACTCAAGCAAATGTGGTTGCGTGCACATACACCTGCTGAATTATAAGAAGCACCCCCAAACTTTAATATCTATTGGGGGGGAAAGAAGTGTATTATAATCTGGAGGATATGGTAAAATATGGCGAGGACATTAAGTTTGTAGATCTATTTGAGCAAGAGTGACAGCGATTGTCATTGCTAATAATATTCCTGCTGCGTTGCTTACATTTTAATAGCTTTGGCGAACGCACTTTGGTATTGCAGTTTTGTACTCCTGCCTGATTTTGACACTTTTTGAAGATCCCTCTTTTTACATCTCATGGAAACGCTGCAAAAGATATTTTTTTCCTTCCTGACGGATCGCGCTTGTGCCAAAGCATCGTGTGTAACCAGCGCAACAGTAACGAAGCAGGACTCGTAGTGTTCTGGTAGAGCTCCCCTTCTATTGGAGGTCGTGTCACCAGCAGTTGCTTGAGCAAGAAATTGGAAGGCTTTGTACTTCTTACCTTTAATTAAAACAAAAAACTTTTCGCAGTGCATAATAATTGATTTCGCAGTACATTTTTATCGCCGTTGATAAGTTTGAAATTAGTTTTTTTTTATTTTTGTACAGTAATGCACTTATGGGGTGTATCGTTGGTGATCTCATGAATGCTCTTTGATCTCTTGATGAAAATTAATCGGCACTACAGTGGCCGCACGTCAATTTGTATAAAGTCTCACGCCGATGGCTGTCTCCATCTTACACTTTGCGGTTGCTTTTATATTTTTGTTGTTTGCCTCTTGAATTTGCGTAAAAGGTTCGGTGATTTCCTTCGTCGTCTTACAAAATGTTTCGGGCGTAAAATGTATTAAAGGGGGGTCGGGTGTCGCCGTATTCTCCGGCTCGTAAGATGCTCCAGAAAGTAATACGCACCTACAAAGTTGTCCAAACCCCGTATCCGTAACGTTAGACAGATCCTAGTAACACAAACACCTGTTGGGGTTACTTTTTGCTTTAAAATACAGGGAAGGATGGATGAACTAGAGAAATACAACACGCGTGCAAATTCACTGAGTTCATCGGTGTTGTCGAGTGGTCACGCTATCTATTTTGTGCACTTGTGTGGTGGGGCAGCAGACAATGTTTTGAGGAGTAACTGAACAACACAAAAGCCACCAACGTTAGAGGTGTCATTCACTATCAGTGTTGGTTACACAAGCGTGTAAACGATATGATATGCCATCATAGGGTGGTGAGAGGTGGTGAAGAACTTCATTCTGTCGTGAATTAACCATGGCTGATAATTCCTTTACAGTTCGGCCGTTTGAATTTCCTCGTTTGTATGCTACTGTAATGTCTTGCATATTCCTCCTTTGAGTAATGTGCATACATTGATGATATGGGTTATATACTGCATTACAAAGTCCGTGCTAGGCGTGTGAATCTCATTGGTTTGTGCGGTGACCTGAGTTAAGATTCCTGGCCAGGGCTAACGCCAGTGGCGAGTGATATCCGAGTTTGGCCTAAGGGGGGGGGGGCCCTTTTGCACCAACCACCACTGATCAGTGACGGGTGAAGTTTCGATCAAACGACCCTCAGGACCGACAATTGGTGTGGCCGAGACCTTCATTCGGATATAGCTGCCGAGTATACATTGTCCAGAGTGTGCAGTGCATACATTTATACACGCACGGAGAGAGTGTTTATAGTATACGTAGAGTAGTTTATTCGTGAATGCAGTCATATATAATAAGTAGTCATATATGTCACACTTAGCAACGCAGTACTTATAATGTCACACTGAACACGAATTATGTTTCTAGACCATATTTGTATACTATGTTTCTCAGATTATATTGCTGTACAACATGTGTATACTTTTGTAAAGCTTTGGAATATGCCATTTGAAAGTGTGTTCTGTGCAAAACATCACGAGTAGGAAAGTGTTAAAGTCTTCCAATTTCTGTACTATGATGCCATAACAATTCAGATGTTATTTGGCTTGTGCCTTATTCTCTGCCCAATGAGATGCACTTTTTTCCCCTGGTATTTTAAACAAAACGTTGGGATAGGGTGTCCAATAATCCAATAGGTATGTGTGTGTGTGATACCATGTTTGTATAATTATATTGATACCGAACACTTGTTTGGGGGTACGTTTTAACTTTTCAGAGGGTCTTATAATCCGGAGAATATGGTACCGTGCGGTTTTTGAAGTTAACTTTTGCATTGTGGCGGTCTATTTTTTAAAGGGATATAGTTGGAAGTTGTGTAAAGTCGGCACACCTACTGTACTTGTAAATGTCTCTCTCGAGATACAAATAAAGCATATATTTGAATGAAAATAAAAAAAATTGATGGACTGCATCCCCGGAGAAACATAACTCTATAATGTGTAAAATTATACGATTGATCGTGTTAACATTCTTACCATACCTGCAGTGTGCAGATAACTACTACAGCTCACATTGTCTCAAGCAAATACGTCAATGTACGCGGCAATTAACTGAAGATCGGCTACATTACTCCACCATTCAACTTGATTCATAGCGGTCTATACATTTTAATGTAAAACAATAAACATGGACATATTCTTAGTTTTTTCGGTAAAGTCACGTTGAAGAGAAACAACAAAATAACAAAATATATATAAAACAATAAAAAAAATTCTCACGACGTTTCGACCATAACTCAAACGGTCATCATCAGGTGTGTCGGTTTGCATAAATTTATTTTGAAAACGGCATATTTATTTATATATATATAAATAACGTTTGCGTCACGCGCAACGATTGGCAGTTTGCCAGGACTAGTCCATCTATTTTTTGAAAAGAGGAGGGGGGAGACGAAATTTGTTTTTATGTATGCTGTCTGAAAGGCACTGTAAGCGTGAACAATCAATCAAGAACTGAAATGATTTATCAAATCTTTCCAATGATTGCTAAGATAGAATCCATCTTCTCGGTTGAAATTGTCTCTGTGTTTGTATATGTGGATAGCCTCATGAACGAATCTCTCATGGAAGCCAGATGGCTTACAAAGAACCTCCGTCTTGGAAAAGTCAATGGCATGTGAGCCTACTGAATTAGAACAATGATCTGCTACGGCCGAGGTGTTGGTCCTACCGTGTTTAAGGTCTGCTTTATGTTCACGAATGCGGTCCGAGATATGGCGTTTGGTTTCTCCAATGTAACTACTACCACAGAGGCAACTTAGTTTGTAGACACCAGGGTATTGTATGTCTGGAATCACATCTTTTACAGACGGAACCAGATCACGGATTTTATGTAATGTGTTGAAACGGACCTGGATCTTGTGTTTATTCAAGATTTTGGAGATCTTTTTTGTGATCCCAGCAATGTAGGGTAAAGTGATGGTTTTGAAAGGCTCCTCAAGAGGGTTCTTCTTCATGGTTTGAGTGATAGCTTTGCGGATTGTATAGTCGGAGTAACCATTAGCCCTAAGAGCTTGGTGTACGTGCTTGAGTTCACTGCTTATGTGTTCCTGGTCGGATATGCATTGGGCTCTATGATACAGAGTCTTGATGAGAGAATTCTTTTGTGATGGATGGTGGTGGGAATCCGGTTTCAGATAAGCATCCGTATGGGTAGCTTTCCTGTAGACAGAGTGGCTCATTGAACCATCAGGTCTCTTTTTAATTAGGACATCCAAAAAAGGTATCTTGCCATCTATTTCGACTTCCATGGTAAATCTGATGGCTGGGTGTATGGAATTGATGTGGTCGAAGAATTGGTCTAGAGCAGGCCGGCCATGTGGCCAGATGACAAAAGTGTCATCCACGTACCTCTTCCATAAGGTTGGGCGCAGAGTGGCAGTCTGGATGGCGTCAGTCTCAAATTTCTCCATGAAAATGTTAGCTATAACTGGAGAAAGGGGGGAGCCCATTGGGGTGCCCTCAGTTTGTTTGTAGAAAGTTCCATTCCAAGTGAAGTATGTATTGGTTAAACAGTGTCTCACCAGGGGGGGTACCTCAGTGTTTAGTCCTTGATGAACCAAGTCTTCAATGATTGCAATGGTGTCAGGTACAGGAACCTTGGTGAATAAGGAAACTACATCAAAACTGACAAGCAGGTCGTCTGGGGACAGGGAAATACCCTTGATTGTTGATACCAGGTGAGTAGAATTTTGTACCGCAGAGGTGGTCTTTCCAGTGAAAGGACGCAGGATTTCAGACAAAAAACGAGCTAGTTTGTAGGTGGGGGAGCTGATAGTAGAGACTATGGGACGAAGAGGTGTATCAACTTTATGTATTTTTGGTAAGCCATCTGGCTTCCATGAGAGATTCGTTCATGAGGCTATCCACATATACAAACACAGAGACAATTTCAACCGAGAAGATGGATTCTATCTTAGCAATCATTGGAAAGATTTGATAAATCATTTCAGTTCTTGATTGATTGTTCACGCTTACAGTGCCTTTCAGACAGCATACATAAAAACAAATTTCGTCTCCCCCCTCCTCTTTTCAAAAAATAGATGGACTAGTCCTGGCAAACTGCCAATCGTTGCGCGTGACGCAAACGTTATTTATATATATATATATAAATAAATAAATATGCCGTTTTCAAAATAAATTTATGCAAACCGACACACCTGATGATGACCGTTTGAGTTATGGTCGAAACGTCGTGAGAATTTTTTTATTGTTTTATATATATTTTGTTGTTTCTCTTCAACGTGACTTTACCGAAAAAACTAAGAATATGAATTACTGCAGTCACGAAAGCTTTAAATCAAAACATGGACATGTTTATGGTATTAGCTGTGTTTTTCGTGTGGGGTGTATTAGCTATTCACCATATTTACTCCCATAATTACCCGATTGGCATGCCACTACAAGTATCTGCCAGTTCACCCTCACTGGTGCATCACAATACAGACCATACAATATGATTAACTAAACGTTTTATTTTATTTTACCAGGTAAGGCCCACTGAGCTACATAGATATTTTTCAGAAGCGACCTGACCACAAGTGATAGCCCAACGAAGTGGCTTCTCAATTCTAGATTTGAAGCTTATCAAGTTGAAATGTATAGCAGCTACGTACTGAAAACGCATGTGTCTACATGCGGAGGGAAAAACCGGAGGACCCGGAGAAAAATCCACGGGGAGACATGCGAACTCCAAATATCCAGCAGGCGTCGGGGTCGGGATGGAACCCACGACATCCTCCACCCCAGGCGAGGAAGTTAAAATCTCACCACCGTGGTGCCAAGATAGTTTTAGTTGCCGATTCTTAACATTTTGAGCCATTCGACAAACGAACCTCGACTCAAAACGTTGCTATATATAGACTTTCTCAAAGTCAAATTTGCTACTGGACAATCTCCCAAGTATTAAACCTCGTAAATTGATCTAGGATCCTGAAGACCTGGAATTATGTCTTTAAACAACTTTCCTAAGCACAACAGTGACTTGTTACAGGAATCGCTCCTAAAATCTACAGGGTGGTCCAGATGTGGCCCACAATTGATCCCTAACTTTTTTTTCCCTTTGCATATTAATTTCTGTTTTAAATAAACCTTGCTTTAAAATTATTATTTTAGAGAATTCAAATGGGGGTCATAAGACATCTGGGCCACCCTGTGCATGTTTGTGTCTCTGTGGGGAAAGGAATCCGCGGGGTTTGTCACCAGTCGCTCAGACACAAAAAAAATGTTGCCCTGAAATCCCCAAACAAGACGACGGATCTAGCGACAAAGTTGGCGACGTGGCACGACTTGTGACGGGCACGCTTGGCGAACTTTCTGCTTTAACGAGTTTGGAAGACTCGCCATTTGTGTATTGTCAAGGGCCGCACTAAAGGTCACCGGTGGCCTTGCAACAATCTCGCAATGAAGAACACTAACCTGGTGTAAATCAATATAACAGGTGTTAAGAAACTTTTTTTTGTTGCAAGGAATCATGTCTGCATTCACCACGCGTGCTTGTGGTGAACATGCAAACAAAAAAAACATGCTCTGATCATATATGATGCATTGTCTATGAAATGTGTGCACCAGACAGCACTTAGGGATTAGTCTCACCAATGTCGGACCAGAGAATGCCAAAAAGTGAACCGTACAAAGACGATGCACTATGGGGGCATTTATATCACGGGGTGAGCAGCTACAACATGGGACTTTTTTTTGCCAGTATCAAAGTATGAAAAACTTAAGAATAGGGTTTACCCTTTCTGGCAATAAAACAGGCGTGAAGATGTTCATACACCAAATAGAAATATTTTGCAATGAATCACGTCTCTGCATTAACCACACGTACTTGTGGTGATCAGTTTAAAAGACAATCCATATAAAATTATACACTAAAACGATTTTTGTTCCTGGGTACTAAGTGCTTATGCCTCAAAAGTATAGAAAATGGCTATTATTCCCCACAAACATTGATTTTGTGACCAGGACTTTATGTGAAGTAATGACACAAATGCATACGTTTTCTCGTTGAAAATCGGTAAATTTTAAAATATCACTGTTCTGGTCACAAAAGCCAGGTTTGTGGGGGAATAATAGCCATTTTCTGTACTTTTGAGGCATACGCAATTAGGAAATAACACTACCCAGGAACAGAAAATGTTTTTGTTACACAATGAATAGCATGTTTTTTTGTTTGGATGTATCGCCACAAGTAGGTGTGGCTAATGCAGACACGCTTCCTTGCAAACATCTTAACACCTCCTATTGTATCGCCAGGAAGGGTACAACCCTGTCCTTATTTTTCCATACTTTTGATAACTGGCAAAACAAAACAAAAAGCCCCCCCAATGTCGTGGTTGTAAATCGCTGGAATGATGATTGGGGGGGGGGGGTGTTGGGCGAAACAACGGGTGGCATTCGTTTCAGTTTCATTTATTAGGTATAGCCCTGTGAGCCATTCGACTCTTGAATCGGGTGCAACCGCAACAAACAAAAATAACAAAAACACGAAAACATCTTAAAGTGACTTTGTGACAATGCCCAAACAGGAAAAAAAAATCCAGGAAATAAAAAAAAACTGCAAAAAAATCTTCCAGAAAAAAAGGCACCGTTCACCAACGCTGTGCGCAAAAAAATCTCAGTGGGATGCAAGTCAAACAACCACAACAACAACAACCACAACAACCACCACCACCCACCACAAGATAACTTTAGATTAAAGCCATCATTCTAACCTCCGTTTGCCCTGCTGCCCCCTGCTGCCTTGTGATGGGGTTGGCTGCGTGGGGGGCTGGCCTAGCGGGCTGGCCCCATTGCTTGGTGGCGGGGTGGGGTGATGCAGGCGGTGGTGGGGCGAGGTGGCGTGGACACCAGGAAATCGTCACCACTGCTCGGTCCGAGCTCGTGTGTCTGCTCGCACGGTGAGTTTGCTGCTGGCTGTCACAGCGACGTTGAAGCGCTGTGAGCGAGTAGCACCTGCGAAGGGCGAAGACGGCACACGAGGGGTGTGGGGGGGGTGGGGGGTAAGGGGGCGGTCAGCAACCACGCCCGGCCGCCTTTGTCACCCCAGTGGCGATGTTTTACGCCACCGCTCCGGGCGTGCTCGCTTTGAGGCCGAGTCGACCTAGGGGAGGCCCGGGACCGGTTCAAGGTGATCGTCGCTGGTTGTTGACCGCGAGCGGGGATCGAACTCGGGCGGCGGGGGTTCTCGTGGCGCGTGGCGCCCGAACCTCGACCACCCACACCCCTGATGTGTTTGTGGTACCAACACTGCACACACAACACATAATACAACACACACATACACACAACACACACACCACACACACATACACACAACACACACCACACACAACACACCACACACATACACACAACACACATACATACACACAACACACACACACCACACACAACACACCACACACATACAGACAACACATACATACACACAACACATACACACAACACATACATACACACACAACACATACATACAACACATACACACACACACAACACATACACACACACACAACACATACATACAACACATACATACACACACAACACATACACAACACATACATACAACACATACATACACACAACACACCACACACATACACACAACACATACATACAGACAACACATACATACACACACAACACATACACACAACACATACATACACACACAACACATACACACACAACACACCACACACACAACACACCACACACACAACACACCACACACACAACACACCACACACATACACACAACACATACATACAGACAACACATACATACACACACAACACACATACAACACACACACCACACACACAACACCACACACACACAACACATACATACACACACAACACACATACACACACAACACATACATACAACACACACAACACGCACACCACACACACACAACACATACATACAACACACGTACATACAACACACACAACACGCACACCACACACACAACTCAATACACAGCACGCAAAACACACACATACACACCACGCACAACACACACACCACACACAACACACACACCACACACACAACTCAACACACAACACGCACACCACATACACAACACACACACACCACATACACAACACACACCGCACACACCACACACAACACAATGCCGGATTATCCTCGTAGCACAAGTAGCTACAACTGCACGTGTTGTAGTACTACAACACGTGCAGTAGTAGCTACGTGTTGTAGTAGCTACTACAACACGTAGCTACTACAACTGTACGTGTTGTAGTAGCTACTACTGCACATGCAGTAGTAGCTACTACAACACGTAACTACTACTGCACGTGCAGTAGTAGCTACGTGTTGTAGTGTAGTAGCTACTACTACACGTGTAGTAGTAGCTACAACACGTGTAGTAGTAGGGCCCCGCGCTAAATGCTTTCAAGCTATCAATTCCGCTTCAGTGATTCTGCACTTGCTCTATTACTATAGTACTATACTGCCTTCAACTTTTACGAACGACCGGGTGTTTAAGGTTAGCGATTTGTCGTATTATCTGGCTGTGTACGTGTTTTTATTTGATTTAGGTCCCCATCATAACATATGCTACAGGCCCCGCACTAGCTTAATCCGGCACTGCACACACGTGTGCGAATACTGTTGCGTACACACCGCGCACACGTGTACGCGTGCACACCGCGCACACGTGTACACACCACACAGAGAGCTAGAGTCGCGCATCCAGGCGGCGCTGTTGTTACCGTGCACTACTGCCGATTGGCGTGTGCGTTGTTGGTAAACCATCGGCGCCTGTTTCTAGTTTCTAGTTTTCAGTTCCATGTATTAGGTATAGCCCTGTGAGCCATGCGGCTCTTGAATCGGGTGCAACCGCAGCAAACATAAAAAAAACCATGAACAAGGAAACATCTTAAAGTGACTCCGCGCAACAGAACAATTCGGTAACAAAAAACCCAACAGCAAAGTCTTCTCGAACGTGGCCAGCCGAAGTTGTGGGCCCTTACCCCACCAACGTCATTTACACGTTTGTCGAACCTTTGCCCGAACGTGCCACGCGGGATGGTGTTTTGAAGCCGTGATCCAGACTGCGGCGTCAGTCGGTGACCCTGGACTGTTAAGGGCCCGTCCATAAATGACGTCACGCGGTTTTTGACGATTTTTGACCCCCCCCCCCCTTCGTCACACGGCGTCATAAAAAGTCAGACACCCCCCTCCCCTCAAATATGACGTCACAAAGCTCTGCCCCCCCCCAAAAATATATTAAACATGCTTCAAATCGTATTCTTAATAACCGCCACTTTTTTTCTAATTTTCTTGCTGTGGTTTTCACACCTGATGATGAGTGCTTGTGTTGCAGTCGAAACGTCGTGAGAATTTTATTGTTTTATATTTTTATTATTTTATTGTTTCCCTTCTACGTGGTGACTTTACCGAAAGAACCAAGAATATGAATCCCTGCAGTCACGAAAGCTTTAAATTAAAAAAATATGCTTCAAATAGCTTTAAACTATTGTTATTGTAGTGTGTATTTAATGTGGCGCTGCACTCTGATGTTGTAGGAGAAAACATTTCTAAAAAGTCGATTTAATTAAGTAGAACGTGTTGTCAATATTTAAAGTTGCGCATTTGTGACGTCACATTTCTCAAACCCTACCCCCCTCTCGTCACACATCGTCACAGATGTCTGACCCCCCCCCCCCCCTAGGTGCGTGACGTCATTTATGGACGGCCCCTAAGAGTTCTAGACCGTCACTGATCTAGACTTGTGGATGTTCTAAACTGTGTCAGTGATGTGATCAGCAGCAGAGGCAGGCCCAGCTTGAACGAATGCTGGTGAACAGCCAGATGTTTCATAGGTAAGGGATGGTTTCGGCATTGAGTGGCTCATCAGCAGAGGCAGGCTTCGCGTGATCCAATGCTGGAAAACTGACATGTTTAGAGGCAAGCGCTGGTTTTGACATTGAGTGTCTCATCAGCAGAGGCAGGCTTCGCGTGAACCAATGCTGGAAAAATGACATGTTTAGAGGCAAGCGCTGGTTTTTACATTGAGTGTCTCATCAGCAGAGGCAGGCTTCGCGTGAACCAATGCTGGTGAACTGCCAAATGTTTAGAGGCAAGCGCTGGTTTTGACATTGAGTGTCTCATCAGCAGAGGCAGGCTTCGCTTGAACCAATGCTGGTGAACTGCCAAATGTTTAGAAGCCAGTGCTGGTTTTGACATTGAGTGTCTCATCAGCAAAGGCAGGCTTCACGTGAACCAATGCTGGTGAACTGCCAAATGTTTAGAGGCAAGGACCTTTTTCTGTTAGATTTGGGTCCAAATGCAGTTCTACGCTAAACCGTATAATGCACAATCCCAAATCATTCGCGTAGTTGTTGGAGAAGGCTGTGTGGCTGATGGAATGTGTCAAACAAAACATTGTTTACGTGTAGGGACAGATACATGAAGGAGGCCTATTGCCTGCTTATCCTTTGTAGTGACAATCCCCGCAAACAGTCCTCGTGGCTATTTTCTGTTCTGTAGTTTTTACATCTCGAGAGCTGTAATGTGGCCAAATGAAACTGAGAACCAAATGTATTGTGGACGTTGTGAACGCCCTGAGACCCTCACTCTGCACTCGAGGGCCTCGTTTCATCACAGGTGGCTGAAACCTGGATTCGAACCCAGTATCTCAGCTATGCTGGGCTCAGTGCCACACGACCACATCCGTGACCACATCCCTGGGACTGGTGACACTTTTGTATTCAGTGCCATTTTCGTAATTTAAATCGATGTGATTTGGAGGCGAAAGTGCAATCGCAATTAAGTGTTCAAGAGCAAGTGATTGCATTCCCAGCGCCGAGCTTGGCCTGTATGTGTAATATTGTTCTGTGGTTACAGTGAGGGAAAAAAGTATTTGATCCCCTGCTGATTTTGTACTTTTGCCCACTGACAAAGAAATGATCAGTCTATAATTTTAATGGTAGGTTTATTTGAACAGTGAGAGACAGAATAACAACAACAAAATCCAGAAAAACGCATGTCAAAATGTTATAAAATTATTGTCATTTTAATGAGGGAAATAAGTATTTGACCCCCTCTCAATCAGAAAGATTTCTGGCTCCCAGGTGTCTTTTATACAGGTAATGAGCTGAGATTAGGAGCACACTCTTAAAGGGAGTGCTCCTAATCTCAGCTTGTTACCTGTATAAAAGACACCTGTCCACAGAAGCAATCAATCAATCAGATTCCAAACTCTCCACCATGGCCAAGACCAAAGAGCTCAACAAGGGTGTCAGGGACAAGATTGTAGACCTACACAAGGCTGGAATGGGCTACAAGACCATTGCCAAGCAGCTTGGTGAGAAGGTGACAACAGTTAGTGCGAAACACAAAAGAACTGTCAATCTCCCTCGGCCTGGGGCTCTATGCAAGATCTCACCTCGTGGAGTTGCAATGATCATGAGAACGGTGAGGAATCAGCCCAGAACTACACGGGAGGATCTTGTCAATGATCTCAAGGCAGCTGAGACCATAGTCACCAAGAAAACAATTGGTAACACACTACGCCGTGAAGGACTGAAATCCTGCAGTGCCCGCAAGGTCCCCCTGCTCAAGAAAGCACATATACATGCCCGTCTGAAGTTTGCCAATGAACATCTGAATGATTCAGAGGACAACTGGGTGAAAGTGTTGTGGTCAGATGAGACCAAAATGGAGCTCTTTGGCATCAACTCAACTCGCCGTGTTTGGAGGAGGAGGAATGCTGCCTATGACCCCAAGAACACCATCCCCACCGTCAAACATGCAGGTGGAAACATTATGCTTTGGGGGTGTTTTTCTGCTAAGGGGACAGGACAACTTCACCGCATCAAAGGGACGATGGACGGGGCCATGTACCGTCAAATCTTGGGTGAGAACCTCCTTCCCTCAGCCAGGGCATTGAAAATGGGTCGTGGTATTCCAGCATGACAATGACCCAAAACACACAGCCAAGGCAACAAAGGAGTGGCTCAAGTAGAAGCACATTAAGGTCTTGGAGTGGCCTAGCCAGTCTCCAGACCTTAATCCCATAGAAAATCTGTGGAGGGAGCTGAAGGTTCGAGTTGCCAAACGTCAGCCTCGAAACCTTAAAGACTTGGAGAAGATCTGCAAAGAGGAGTGGGACAAAATCCCTCCTGAGATGTGTGCAAACATGGTGGCCAACTACAAGAAACGTCTGACCTCTGTGATTGCCAACAAGGGTTTTGCCACCAAGTAGTAAGTCATGTTTTGCGGAGGGGTCAAATACTTATTTCCCTCATTAAAATGCAAATCAATTTATATCATTTTTGACATGCGTTTTTCTGGATTTTTTTGTTGTTATTCTGTCTCTCACTGTTCAAATAAACCTACCATTAAAATTATAGACTGATCATTTCTTTGTCAGTGGGCAAACGTACAAAATCAGCAGGGGATCAAATACTTTTTTCCCTCACTGTACTCATGAATGCCAAAAGGGTTGAGTTGCGCAGTATGTTGCCATAAAGCGGAGTCGCTGAACTCTGCAACATCGCAGATAAGGTGAGTTCGACTTATCCATTAACTCACGAATACTGGCTCAGCCAGCGGCTTACAATCCAGAGTTAAATTCCTGCTTGGGGGTTCACTCAGCCCATCGACCGTTTGTGGATGTTATCAGTGGTTGTCCTATGGAATGACTCCCCTGCGATAAGAATGAGGAATTTCCACAACTGACTTAGCGCTGTAAACAGAAGATGACAACTGCCTCAATGCTCATTTCAGCAGGAAATCGCTTTGACGACTGAATATTGAGACATCAGTGGAGTATTGTAATAGGCATTGCTCTGCATGTCATAGAAGTGTAAATATGTTGGTACAGTACTGCATCGCTTCGTCAGGCATTATTTAATTCCTGTGACGCAGCAATCCACCCAACACCCGCACGTGCACTGATTGATTTAATTGCTCCATCTCCTTCATCAACGTCCTCTAAGACACGTTCCATTCCTTGGCTGCTACTCCGTTGTTATTCTTGACCATTGGCAATCATCCCTTCTTGCGACGTGTCCTGCCGGTCCAAGCCCACTCAATTTTATTTCTAGTTTTAGGCGATGTCGTAGACCATCGTGTGTTCTCTAATCCAAGTTTTCCTCTTTCACTGTTTAAATACATGTGTAGTGACAGGGTGCCATCTATTTACCATGAAGGGTAACTACGGGTATAGGTGCGCTATATAACAGCCAACCATAAGGGGGGTGGTAACTGGGCCAAGGGTCAGAGGCGGGGATCAGTCGGGAAGCTCCTGGAACCTGCACGAGAGTTCTAGAAGGGGGGCGTGGCCAGAGGCAGGGCTTGGCCACGTCGAGGAGTATAAAAGGGGGAGGTAACCGGAGGTTCGGGGCTGTCGTGGGGGTTCTGGTCCTGGCTGCCGTCGCTATCTTCGCCGTCATCTCTTCATCATCGTCTGGCCGATCCGCTGTACGGTCCCCATCGTCGTCGTCGTTGTATCAGCCAGACAGCTATATAGTTAGACGCCGGCGATGTGGCTGTATGAGTGGGTCAGCTCTACGTAACCCAGTGTATATGTCGCTCAGTGACTCTGCCTGTAAAGTGTGAGAAATAAACAAGGAGCCCTCTACGAGTCGCGTCTCGGAAGTCGCTCACTACACATGCATGCATCTCTCCACGGTGGCGAGATGTTAATTACCTCACCCGGAATACAGGAGATCGTGGGTTCGATCCCAACCCTGATGCCTGTATATTTGGGGTTTGCGTGTCTCTCTCCCCGTAGTCGTGTACATTTTTCTCCGGGTCCTTTGGTTTTGCCCTCCACATTTAGAATCAACATGTGTTTAGGGTATTTATTTGGCTGCTATAACTTTCCACATGATAAGCCACTTTGTTGAGCGATCATTTGTGGCCAGGTCGCTTCTAAACAAGAGCTATATGTCTTCTTTGGTTCTTTTGGTAAAGTCACGTAGAATGAGAATAAAATAATAAATTGATAAAATAAAATAACACAATAATATTCTCACGACGTTTCGGCCACAACACAAGCGGCCTTCATCAGGTGAAGGGGCGCTGTCCTACCAGACAGTCTCGCCCCTTCACCTGATGAAGGCCGCTTGTATTGCGTTATTTTATTTTATCAATTTATTATTTTATTCTCATTCTATGTGACTTTACCGAAAGAACCAAAGAAGATGCATCATTGCAGTCACGAAAGCTTTAAATCGAAAGAGCTATATGGCTCAGTGGGCCTTGCCTGGTTAAAAAAAAAAAAAGTTTATCATGCTGATAGTATAGACCTCAGCAGATTCACAGCCACTTTTGAAATTGACACGTAAAAAAAAAATATTACACATTTACGCCGAATGATGGGCATTTTTTGTCTGGTTTCTTAGCTTCCCAGTGGAGATGGCCGCGGTGAGCATAACCGAGGGCCATGCAGACGTTGACGGACAACGGCTTTTCTATCGCGAAGCAGTGGCGCCTTCCGTGCCTCGGCGCTTCTCAGTTTTACTCTTGCACGGCATGAAGTTCTCCTCCGAGACCTGGCTCACACTCGGCACCCTCAAGGAACTGGCCGAGGCCGGATATCGGGCGGTAGCGCTCGATCTTCCAGGTAAAAGAGGATCGGACACTTTCAAGCCATGAACACCGAGGTTAACCTCATGACACCGCAGTGAAAACAAAAAAAAGTGCAATACATTGTAGCATTTGCGGTTCGAGCCCCCGCGGCTGCCCCGGTTAATACTCTGTGGTGCCGCGGTAGCGAGATGTTCACTTCCTCGCCCGGTATACAGGAGGTCATGGGTTCGACCCCGACCCTGATGCCTGTTTGAATGTTCTCCTCGTGGTCACGTGAATTTTCCCCGGTTTTTTCCCTCCGCGTTTATAAACGTGTGCTTAAGAGTATTTGGCAGCTATACATTTCCACGTGATTAAGTCACTTCGTTGTGCTATCATTCGTGGCCAGGTGACTTCTGAAAGAGAGCTATATAGCTTAGTGGGCCTTACCTGGTAAAATAAAACATTTTGAGTTTTAAATACGTTTCATTTACTGAAGCACCCACATCACTCAACACCTGGTGACGCTGGCGAGACGTCGTACAGAATAGCCAAATGTTGCGAGCCTTTCAACGTAACCGGTTTTGCCATGAAATAAAGTCATTCGGCGCATTTGGCCACCATGTGACAACCCGATTGATGTGGCTGTGTTGGATGGTGAAGGGGGCCCAACTCCAATTGGCCCAAGAGATAACCAGTTACGAATCGTACTGTGGGTCTGTTGACCGTAAAATGGAAACGCCGTCTGCTTCGCAGTGGACGTTGAAGATCCCGTGGCATTAAAACGAAAAGATTAGGTCACGTCTAAAATTTTCAACAATTACCAGAAATGTATCGATTGTAAAAAAAACATTGCAACATCGGCCCCATACTATGAAACGTCGTAGAACTCCGCTGTAAAAGTCTTGGGACTCGGTGAGGATTTCCTGGGTACATAATTGTAATAAATAACAGAGAAAAAATGTACAATTACCGACACTCCACATTCACCTGTATTCATGAAACACGGTCCCGTGTTGATTACGACCCATTGAATTACGACGTGGAGTGCTCGTCATTATCCACTATAAACAAGGTCGCAATGCACAGACGCAAAACAATTAATAATTCGTGTTTAGAGGTCGTTAGTCGTAAGTTACCTAACTGAATTACCGAACGCACTTTCTGAGTTTGCAACTGCAGCGTCATTCGTGTAATTCCTAGTGTCCTGTTTAACTGCCTCACGCCGTCGCAGACGTAACAATTCTACGAGGCCGCGTTCCCGTGAATTCACGCCTGACGGATGGCTATTCCCGATCTCAACTTTGTAGGCTACGGACGGTCCGCTTCCTATCAGCTGGCAGGCCTGCGCCTGGGAGAAATCGCGAAGGGCACGTTCCTGAAGCTCGTTTCAGAGAGCCTGCAGCTGGGTCCCTGCGCGCTCGTGTCTCCCTCCATGAGCGGCATGTTCTCTCTGCCGTTCCTGCTGGAGCACGAAGCTCTTGTCCGCGGCTTTGTCCCCGTGGCCCCCATCTGCACGGACAAATTCACGGCAGAGCAGTACAAGAAGGTGCAGGTAAATGTGACGCAGGTGACGATCGACAACGTAGGCTCGGCTTAAACCGCTGCGAGAGGAGTCAAATTCGTTGTGTGGATTTGGAAAGCGAATCGGCGTTGAGACAGGATTGTGCTTAACGGGGCTACCCGCAGTGCATTAAACGTGTTGTGACAGGTGCCTGCGAAGCTACGTTCGTGGGCAGCAGAGGGCAGTGCAGCAAGATGCTTTGTTCTTATTCTTAGCTCTTTCGGTAAAGTCACGTTGAAGGGAAACAATAAAATATATATAAAATATATATATAAAAATATATATATTTTATAATATATTATTATTTTATTGTTTCTCTTCAACGTGACTTTACCGAAAGAGCTAAGAATATGAATTACTGCAGTCTCGAAAGCTTTAAATCAAAAATTATTATTTGTTCTGTTGCGTTATGATCCCCACGCTTATGCCACCCGCTCTTGCTGATTCGCACTGACTGACCAGCGTGGTGAAGTATGGCGAATTAATTCTGTGGGTGCTACCGATTATCCAGCAGTGCATTGACAAAAGTTTATACATTGCTGCGCAAGGATGGCCTATCATTCTGTGACCATGACATAGGAGGAGTTCCCTTACAGGCGTCAGGGTTGGTATCGAACCCAAAAGCTCCTGTATACCAGGCGAGGTAGTTAACATCTCCCCGCCGCAGTGCCCAGCTAAAACAATGGTGCAGGTTTCTAAAATTCCCCCCCCCACCTCCACCTCTATCCAACCAGCAGTATAAGTGGGTGTAGCCACAGTTGATCGGCAGATGTCTAGGCCAGCCTGGAAGATTAAGCCGAAATACCCTCTCAGGCGGCATAAGCGAGGCATTGCAGGGCTGCACCTTTACCTCACATCAGTTGACGGTCGTACGGTGGCGGTTGTTGATATGCCAGGCACGTGACGGGCAGTGGTTTTCCCTCACGTCCTTATCTCGATTTGCAGGTGCCTAGCTTGATTACCTATGGCTCCCAGGATTCCCAGCTCGGGGAATCGTCCCTGTCGAACCTCCGAAACCTCCCCAACTCGACCGTCCTGAAGATGGAGGGCGCGGGTCACGCCTGCTACCTGGATAGCCCAGCCGAGTGGCACTCGGCACTGCTTGCCTTCCTCGGCAGCCTCAAGTAATCCCTCGGCAGGGTGGTCCTGGCGCATGGCGCTGCACGAGTCAACAGAATTGTTGCCAGAAAAAACAGTAACACAGTAATCGTAGTAGTGATGATTGTGATGACGACGATGATGACGACGGTGGTTGCTGGAGTTCCCTGCTTCAATTTTAGGCTTGCCGTGTGGCGTATATGCGTACAGGGAGTAGTTACAAATAAATAATTTGACCGATAATTGCGAAGGAAATTAAAGTATATGTGTGCCTTGATGTTTATTGACGCCGTACATTGGTGAGTGTCTTTGACTGTCGGGGCCAGGGTTAAATAGAATAGAATAATAGATGAACTCTGCATGAGTGTAATTGAACTCGTCAACGTGGTGAGTAAATCTGTCATCAAACTGAAACTAGATCTGAAATAAAAGCAAACGAGATATATAATTACAAAGCCTATGGTTCTCTATTCTGTAAGTAATTCGTTTTTGTCGGGACCAGCAGATATCTCACTCTCCCTGTCAACCGCAGACCCCCTGGGTATTCACATACACAGAAGGAGCACATACAACGCAATAAGAGGGTGTGTCACTCGTGCTATGGGTGTACTGGAGTTGGTGTCTCATCGTTTGACATAACCGTGCTGGTATAATGTGTATCTCACATCCGTGTGTGTGTGTCATTTTGATATGGGGAGCAGTAGTGCAGTGGTTAGTTCACTGCGCTACAAAACCTGGTGAGTGAATCTGTCATCAAACTGAAACTATATCTCAATTAATAAACGTGTATAGGTGTGCCCTGATGTTTATTGGCGCGATACGTTGCAACAATATAAGTGTGGGGCGGTGACGTGGCCGAGATTCGTGGTTCGAACCCCAGTGGCCACCCTGGTTAATAATGCGGGTGTATTCAACCAAAAGATACTCGCCACCCGCTTCACAGTGGATGCTAAAATCCCATGACATAATACGAAAAAGAGTAGGCCATTGTGTACCGGCATCGTATTTACTAAATTTCTAGATTTACGTTGGTTAGCAGCATCGCCGCTTACTATGAAAAACTACTGCAGACTGTAATTGTCTTTGAAACATAGCGCCTTAGTGATGGCCTTGGGCGGTAATAATGGTGGCTGCGATTTGATGTGATAATTATTTCAATTTGCAGTTTACTTAGGACCTGATTATAGTTTTTAAGGTTAAGGACTGTACCCAAAATTCCATTGGGAATGTCAAATGCTAAGATTTTGCAATCAACGCTGCGGGAAATTGTTGGAATTGAGGTGGGTTTAATACTTAATATTCTTATGCATATATAATTCATATTTTCCTTTTGCTCGTGAGATATATATTTATGTATTCCCACAAATAGTTAATGATCTCAGACAAGATATTTAGCTTTATACGTTTCAATAACTATGTGTTACGCGATGGCCTTCATGAAACGAGCAGATGATCAAATTGTTGCCTTTCATTGGCCGATTGCTGGCCCAGGTGGTACCAATATCTCCTCTGGACCATGGACGAATATACGCAGTAAAATTACCATGTATTGCCTTGTGTTATTTACCATGTGATATGCTAATTGCAATGCATTATGCAAATTATCGTGTGGGATGCCGAGATGAGTCCACACTTACTCGGTCGTCAGCACTCATTCTTAAATGGCCGTCTGCTATTCAGGCTTTTTGGAAAATAAAATCTGCTATGAATAAAATTACATTTGCGTTGAGCTGACTCTTTTCTCCCCGTTTACAGCTGCTTGTCAACCCGCTGTTGGATGAGCCCAAGATTGGTTCAGGTTTTCGCAGTTGAGCCGTGCGGCTCTCCGATGCGTTTGTGGGTGGTATCGCGCGCTGTTCGGTTCGATGTCCGACGTTTTGCTGCGCGCGCTGGGAGCTCCTTGAGGACAAGCTCCCAGCACTCGGAGCGAAACATCGGACGCTGTGCCGAACAACACGCGGGACAACCAGAAAATGCATCGATCGGTTGGCCGTCTTCAAACGAAGTTGCGTTTCGAATCGTTTTTTAGCGTCAAAGCGCGCATGTTAGGCCATCGAAGACGGTCACTGCATCGCGCGCTTTCAGATGCGCGTCTGCGGACGTCTCGAACGCTCATCCTTCCGATAATTTTCCACTCCTATAATTTGTTGAATTGTTTTTTTGCTGTAACTTGCTGACCCGCCCTTACTGCACATCTCTGAAAAAGATACTTCTTAGCTCTGATATGACTAGGAAGCCACTGGAGTTATGCACTTACAAATCTAGATTGAAAACGCATTTGTTTTTTTGAAACTGCCGTTTGTGTTTAGGTTGTTGTCCTTCCCCTGCACGTGCAATTAGCACGGTTGGCTACGTACGGTCACGTAAGAAGTTCGACACGCGTACATCTGTACGTTTGGTATGAAGATTCTTCACTGTTTCATCTGTGTCTGAACAGGTCTGAGCGATGAGGCGGCAACCGCTGATGCAAGGGAGACTCTGTTTCCTCGCCGTCTTCCTCTCGCTGGCTCTTCTGGCCTACATACTGCTGCCCGGCCTCAGGAGGCGGTTAGGCCATCAGGGCACGGGATCAACGAAGCCAGTGACAAACAGCACACTTCTCACTCTCGATCTGGGACCAGGAGCAGGCCGAGTGACCCTCTTCATTCGGGAAGCAGCTCCGAGGTACGATGTCCCGGCGTTTTCACACCGACCACACGTTCGCATCGTTCACCATCGTCGTCATCATCGCGATCCACGGGGCAGTTTGCCCGTAGGTGCCCACTGTACGTTTCGTCATTTGTTTCCACTTTCCTCGCCCTTATGTGCTCGACTAGCGCACATCTTTCTGGCACAAATCTCTAATGTCGTCGAGCCATTCTCTTTTGCATCGTTAGGGATTGTATATTGTTGAGAAGTCCGGTATTTTTACTGCGCGGTTTGGAAATGTTTTGGAAGTGGGCGCTAATGATGTTCAGATCCGCGTATGCACGTCTTACGCCGGACACGGGTGGTGAAGACGTTTTTCGCCGAGATTGCACAAAGTGTGTAATCTGGATTCCTGATTTTATTTTTAATTTCATTTTTTTATTCCATTGTATTTTTTTTTATTTTCTATCTACGTGACTTTACCAAAAGGAACCAAGATTATGGATTCCTGCAACCACGCAATATATTATGAAAAGATAAAAGTGCAGCCGTGCAATTACATGCTGATGCTACTGTTGGCGGATGGGCCTCCAGTAGAGGGAGCTCTAGAGAGACTTTCCAGAGGGTATTTGGCCGACTCTTCAACATTGGATAGGGGGGTGTTCATCATTGGGGATGTTAAATGTTAGCAAAGTATAAACGTTTTTGATTTTTGCTAAACGTTGAATGTGCAGCCTTCCGCACCACCGAGGGCATGTGGCTTGCAGTGCACATACACACACGTGCTCAGTAGGTGGCCATGCATTTTCTAGATGCCCGGAGCTGCGTGTAGCCCTGTCTCTCTATAGCCCTGTCTCTCCATAGCCCTGTCTCTCTATAGCCCTGTCTCTCTATAGCTGTCTCTCTATAGCTCTGTCTCTCCATAGCCCTGTCTCTCCATAGCCCTGTCTCTCTATAGCCCTGTCTCTCCGTAGCTCTGTCTCTCCATAGCCCTGTCTCTCCATAGCCCTGTCTCTCTATAGCCCTGTCTCTCTATAGCTCTGTCTCTCTGTAGCTGTCTCTCCATAGCCCTGTCTCTCTATAGCCCTGTCTCTCTATAGCCCTGTCTCTCCATAGCCCTGTCTCTCCATAGCCCTGTCTCTCTATAGCCCTGTCTCTCTATAGCCATGTCTCTCCATAGCCCTGTCTCTCCATAGCCCTGTCTCTCCATAGCCCTGTCTCTCTATAGCTCTGTCTCTCTGTAGCTCTGTCTCTCCATAGCCCTGTCTCTCCATAGCCCTGTCTCTCTATAGCTCTGTCTCTCCATAGCTCTGTCTCTCTGTAGCCCTGTCTCTCCATAGCCCTGTCTCTCTATAGCCCTGTCTCTCCATAGCCCTGTCTCTCCATAGCCCTGTCTCTCTATAGCTCTGTCTCTCTGTAGCTCTGTCTCTCCATAGCCCTGTCTCTCTATAGCTCTGTCTCTCTGTAGCTCTGTCTCTCCATAGCCCTGTCTCTCCATAGCCCTGTCTCTCCATAGCCCTGTCTCTCTATAGCTCTGTCTCTCCATAGCTATGTCTCTCTGTAGCCCTGTCTCTCTGTAGCTCTATCTCTCCATAGCACTGTCTCTCCATAGCCCTGTCTCTCCATAGCCCTGTCTCTCTATAGCTCTGTCTCTCCATAGCCCTGTCTCTCCATAGCCCTGTCTCTCCATAGCCCTGTCTCTCTATAGCCCTGTCTCTCCATAGCCCTGTCTCTCCATAGCCCTGTCTCTCTATAGCTCTGTCTCTCCATAGCCCTGTCTCTCCATAGCCCTGTCTCTCCATAGCCCTGTCTCTCCATAGCCCTGTCTCTCCATAGCCCTGTCTCTCTATAGTTCTGTCTCTCCATAGCTCTGTCTCTCTGTAGCCCTGTCTCTCTGTAGCTCTATCTCTCCATAGCCCTGTCTCTCCATAGCCCTGTCTCTCCATAGCTCTGTCTCTCCATAGCCCTTTCTCTTCATAGCCCTGTCTCTCCATAGCCCTGTCTCTCTGTAGCTCTGTCTCTCTGTAGCCCTGTCTCTCCATAGCCCTGTCTCTCCGTAGCCCTGTCTCTCCATAGCCCTGTCTCTCCATAGCCCTGACTCTCTATAGCTCTGTCTCTCCATAGCCCTGTCTCTCTATAGCCCTGTCTCTCTATAGACCTGTCTCTCCATAGCCCTGTCTCTCTGTAGCCCTGTCTCTCTGTAGCCCTGTCTCTCTGTAGCTCTGTCTCTCTGTAGCTCTGTCTCTCTGTAGCTCTGTCTCTCTGTAGCCCTGTCTCTCCGTAGCCCTGTCTCTCCATAGCCCTGTCTCTCTGTAGATCTGTCTCTCTGTAGCCCTGTCTCTCTGTAGCCCTGTCTCTCTGTAGCCCTGTCTCTCCGTAGCCCTGTCTCTCTGTAGCTCTGTCTCTCCATAGCCCTGTCTCTCCATAGCCCTGTCTCTCCATAGCCCTGTCTCTCTGTAGCTCTGTCTCTCCATAGCCCTGTCTCTCTGTAGCTCTCTCTCTCCATAGCCCTGTCTCTCTGTAGCTCTGTCTCTCCATAGCTATGTCTCTCCATAGCCCTGTCTCTCTGTAGCTCTGTCTCTCCATAGCTCTGACTCTCTGTAGCCCTGTCTCTCTGTAGCTCTATCTCTCCATAGCCCTGTCTCTCCATAGCCCTGTCTCTCCATAGCCCTGTCTCTCTATAGCTCTGTCTCTCCATAGCCCTGTCTCTCCATAGCCCTGTCTCTCCATAGCCCTGTCTCTCTATAGCCCTGTCTCTCTATAGCTCTGTCTCTCCATAGCCCTGTCTCTCCATAGCCCTGTCTCTCCATAGCCCTGTCTCTCTATAGCTCTGTCTCTCCATAGCCCTGTCTCTCCATAGCCCTGTCTCTCCATAGCCCTGTCTCTCCATAGCCCTGTCTCTCTATAGCTCTGTCTCTCCATAGCCCTGTCTCTCCATAGCCCTGTCTCTCCATAGCCCTGTCTCTCTATAGCCCTGTCTCTCCATAGCCCTGTCTCTCTATAGCTCTGTCTCTCCATAGCCCTGTCTCTCCATAGCCCTGTCTCTCCATAGCCCTGTCTCTCTATAGCTCTGTCTCTCCATAGCCCTGTTTCTCCATAGCCCTGTCTCTCCATAGCCCTGTCTCTCCATAGCCCTGTCTCTCTATAGCTCTGTCTCTCTGTAGCTCTGTCTATCCATAGCCCTGTCTCTCTATAGCTCTGTCTCTCCATAGCCCTGTCTATCCATAGCCCTGTCTCTCTATAGCTCTGTCTCTCCATAGCTCTGTCTCTCTGTAGCCCTGTCTCTCTGTAGCTCTATCTCTCCATAGCCCTGTCTCTCCATAGCCCTGTCTCTCCATAGCCCTGTCTCTCCATAGCCCTTTCTCTCCATAGCCCTGTCTCTACATAGCCCTGTCTCTCTGTAGCTCTGTCTCTCTGTAGCTCTGTCTCTCTGTAGCCCTGTCTCTCCATAGCCCTGTCTCTCCGTAGCCCTGTCTCTCCATAGCCCTGTCTCTCTATAGCTCTGTCTCTCCATAGCCCTGTCTCTCCATAGCCCTGTCTCTCCATAGCCCTGTCTCTCTATAGCCCTGTCTCTCCATAGCCCTGTCTCTCCATAGCCCTGTCTCTCTATAGCTCTGTCTCTCCATAGCCCTGTCTCTCCATAGCCCTGTCTCTCCATAGCCCTGTCTCTCCATAGCCCTGTCTCTCCATAGCCCTGTCTCTCTATAGTTCTGTCTCTCCATAGCTCTGTCTCTCTGTAGCCCTGTCTCTCTGTAGCTCTATCTCTCCATAGCCCTGTCTCTCCATAGCCCTGTCTCTCCATAGCCCTGTCTCTCCATAGCCCTTTCTCTTCATAGCCCTGTCTCTCCATAGCCCTGTCTCTCTGTAGCTCTGTCTCTCTGTAGCCCTGTCTCTCCATAGCCCTGTCTCTCCGTAGCCCTGTCTCTCCATAGCCCTGTCTCTCCATAGCCCTGACTCTCTATAGCTCTGTCTCTCCATAGCCCTGTCTCTCTATAGCCCTGTCTCTCTATAGACCTGTCTCTCCATAGCCCTGTCTCTCTGTAGCCCTGTCTCTCTGTAGCCCTGTCTCTCTGTAGCTCTGTCTCTCTG